TGTTATTATGTACGTACAAACGAGGCTAATGAAATAACAGGGACGTTAATCACATATTATGACGGATTAACCGCGGTTAATATAATAAAAAATAGAAGAAAAAAAAGTCAAGTTAAAAGGAGAAAAATTTAGGATTGAAGCGGTTCGTTTTTTTGACAAAAGGCATTATTCCAGTTGTTCGGCTATACATTGTACTAGGTTATGTTGTAAACGGATTTCTTATTTTTGTAAAATATTGCAACGTTATTGCGTTTTAATATTTAATTGCAAAAAAACTGAATTAAATACAAAAACCGGTTTCTAACATGACCCCATAGAGAGACCAACAGAATTAAAATTGGACCAGCAAATTCATGGCATAATATGCTCACGGCGAAAGCGTTTTTTACCATCTAAATGGAATTAATCAACGAAAAAAAACAGTATACCTTGAAAATAACACTCTGAAGCTTGTACATAGTAACCGGAAAACAAATTGTCATTGTCAACGGTTGCGCTAAAAGAGGCATATAACAAAAAACCAATATAAAGATAGATATAGAACGGGACTATAATATATCATACACTTTTCTGGAAAATGTATGGTTAAATATATATATATATTTTTTTAAATAAATTGCAGAAAAATATTTTATTACATTGTTAACTTAATATATAATTTTAAGAACAATATAGATTTAAAAATAGTTTTATCGACTCTGAACATATTATATATTGTATTGTAGTAGTATTAGTTTTTGAAATTTCATTTATTATAATACAAGAAACTGCAATTTTTAAATGAAAATTGGTTTCCTACATAATCTAGTTAAGTAGCCAAAGAACTTATAGAATAAATACAAAAACTAATACTACTACAATAAAACTACTCAAAGAACTCGAATCTCTTTACAAAATTGAAATCAGGCCAATCTATATGAATAGGGGTAATTTGGTCAGGTCTCGCGTTTTTTCTCAAATATTGCCTATATAGAACTCCGTTAAAAGGTTATGGGTACAACAATTATTATACGATTACAAAAATACATACGTTTAGTTTTACAACCAGTGTACAAAATAACTATATTATTATTTAATTGTCAATTGCCTAACATTTTTAGACTTTAATCGTTTGCGACTATTCAGTATGTAAATGTATGTGGAAATAAATCAATAAACCCATATAACCTTAAAATGTTATCTCACTTTATTCTCGGGCGATAAGCTTGATGTCCTATCCGTCCTTTCATTATATATGGGTTTCTCCCCGATATGCCCCAGGGTACACACTCGAACTGCGCCCCGTTTTTTTATCAGCAGATGTAGGTCAATATATTAACAGGTAGTTTAATTACACATGCCAAACTGAATAAATTCAGCGGTTAAAAAATATTTAATTTAAAAAAAAATAAAACTATTAGGTATTAAAACTTATGAAGTTAATATAATAGTGTGACGCGCTGTATAAAAATAATAATACTACACACTGCTGCCCTTTCTTTCTAACTATATTTTTTAGCTTACTGTAACGTGATAATATTACACGTGTCAACCGCATGTTTCGTTTTTTATTCCAATCATTGTTTAATAATAAACTTGGAAAGTTCTTGGATGTTTAGCCCAAGTGGTAGTGTTGTTGATGGCACACAGAGATTGCGGTGTACTGTAAAAACATGCAAGTCACATTTCTCAAAACCGACGACAGTGACGGACTTTTATGAAGTGATGGACATTTTAATCATTACCACGAAAACCTAAGCCATAACTTGTGAATAAAAATAAGTTTTACTCAGTCGACCGGGCGTTTACCAAAGAACTCACGAGAGGCGCCCCCAATTAGTTTGGGAAACCTTGAATGATTTTTTTTTTAATAGCACAAATTTGAGTTCTGAGCGCGGTTAGTGTACATATTTTGGTTAGCTGCTATTTTGGGCTGCCCCTACTGGCCTTTTTTTTTTTTTTTAGTTCACATACTTACGACTTTGTGTGCTACCTATATAATATGTATATATTTGACTAGTGTAAAACAATACGAGGGGTTTACACAGGACAAAAATTGCGCACATGTGATGAAGAAGAGGAGGGGGGAGCGGGAATCGACAAGTGTCAGACTGGTAATGCGATACGCGGAATTAGTCGGGTTTCAAACGAGGCCGGGGGTTTATATATATAAATATATAATATACTATGTATAATATATTATGATATATTATACCAATCGCAAAGCAAAGGGTGTGGCATTTTTTTTTTGTTTCGAAAAAAAGGATTGGGTCTGTGGTTAACCGAAACCGTGCGGAGGGGAGGAGGAAATACTTAAGACAAGACCGCGACACATGTATATTATATCCTGTGGGAAAGAAATAGGGGAGAAAAAAAAATATAGCACACCTCGTTACATACAAGCAATACACGTCTGTTGTGCATAGTAGAACAGCTGTCGTCAGAACCATAAGCGCGAATTGTGGAGGGGGGAAGCGTGAGAGGGGGTGTGATGAGCATCCCTAGTTTTGAAATTAGCACCCCCCCCCCCCGTCAGAAAAATAATTTCTTTGTGTTTCGTACAAAAAGTACTCGGGGAGGAAAAGGGATTTCTAATATTTCCAGTGCTTTAACACCCCCCCACCCCCATATTTTAGCGAAATCGACGGGTTAGTTACGACCAACGCTGTTCAACCCTTACTTTTTTTAAATCATTTTCTAAATTTTAGCAAAATAAAAAAACCCAAAAATGTGGGTTTTGTTAAGTACCCGAAAAAGGTTCTGCTTTGTCGCCAACATGACAATACTTTTCATCAACATTTATTACTAAAGAAATTACTCGACAACATTTCTCAATACCAAATTTTCCATCAATGTAAATATTATTTAATGACAAAAGTACTAATCCTACTGAAGTACGATCAAACGTACGTAAATAATTAAATACCTTTCAAGCGACAAAGAGACGATTGCAAAACTATTGTCTTTTTTTTGTTATTAATCAATAAATCAATTAATTTGTAAACGTAATGTCAGTCAATGGTTTAACAATGAAATTACAAAACACTCATAGGTGATTACACAAGAACTTTGTCTCTTTTTTTATGAAAAATAGATTATTAAATATAAAATGTATAATATATTTTGGATGCAAAAATGTATATTAGAGAGAGTTTTGCACTACGTCGTAGTTAAACATAATACAAGAGTTCGTTAACGTATTTGATTATCTCAGTATTTGGTTATAAATATTACTGTAAGGGTTATATATATATATATATATATGCAAATTGTATTTGTATTATATTTTACAAATCCAGTTTTTTTCGAACAATTACAAAAAAAGCGACAAAGCAAAAAAAATGTATATTCTAATGAATTCATAAATGTAAATTACACGATTAATAATTAGAACGTACTGCACACCTAATTAAATCTTCTATTTCTATACTTCTTGATACCAATATAACTTAATTTCATAACATTAATTATTCAATCAGTAATATTATACATATTCAGTAATATCAATTACTAAAAATTTAATTGAACATAAACGTGACCAGTGGCACATGTAAAGTTATATAAACAACGACAAACTAATCAATAATCCAGAATCAATGATTTGTATAATATATAACTTTTAATATGGGTTACGCGGCACACAGTCCGTATTCCGTCAGTAAGTATTAACACAATAAGGACAATTTTGCAACGGAGAAAACTTTCGGGAACTCATTAATTAACTGCCAAACTAGTGTTCCTATTTATAATTAAATACGATGGCACTTTCTAAGAAAAGGTTTACACAACGACACAGTACACAAACTTAGTTAAAACTTCTATGAATATTTTTTTTGGCCAATCGACCGTTCAAGTATGTTATAATGGAAATCAAATGCAAATATTAATAATTGACATTTAACATGGAAAAATCAAAATGTCACCAACAATAAAAACCTGAATTCCAAAAACCAATACCGCTATGAATTGAACCCAATTTTTCATAATAAAACCATAACCAATATTAACCCAATTAATTATTAAATGTAACTCAAATATATAATTTGGGTTCAAAGCCTCAATTAGAATACATTTTTTAGCATTGTTTGTTAACATTTAATAATTTTTTTTTTTTTAAGTATTTCTTCAATCACTTCAAAATAACATTAAAAAAATGAATAAATAACAACATTGTAGTACTAAATTGCTTTGTCGCTGTGGAATTTGCATAGAAATTAAATCATTAAAGATAAAAACAACGTTTAACTGTTTAGAAAATAACGATAATAATAATAAAACGGTAGTTAATAATTTTCTCTTTTAAACTCTTATAAACTGGGTAAAATTAAAAACCAAAATATTAAAAATAGGAATGATAGCACAGTGATTTAATAGTGACAAATTTAACTCTCACCCAACGACTAGTATCTCTTGTTTGATGATTTAAAATGTTTTTAATTAATAATAATAGTTTAATTTAACAAATTTGACAAATTGATTAATAATTGGTAATTACTAATATAAATATGCAATTCAATGATCAATTTAACGGCAAAAAAAAAATTGCTTTTAAAACTCAACTTATATTATTGTTCATTATCAAGTGTTTTAACGCCGCCACAGTATTTATATTTATTAAATTAGTTTTTTTTTTTAACTGAACACAATCAAATGATAATTACTATAGTTCCGAAATAACGTTACAAGTATATTATTATATCCAATTCTGTTGTACACAACATCAGAACTTTCTCTTTGATGACTTGGGTTAACGCAATACACCAAATGTCGACCGTTACTTTACGCAACACGTTGACACGTTATTATAAGATTATCTGTTTATTCAATCCCTTTGATACGGGTATAACACAGGGATTAATACGAATTTCCAAAGGCTACGTTTCGGTGTACTTAGGGAGACTTTCTTTTTTCTTTTACAACATTTTCGACGATAGTGTTACGGTCCTCGATGAACTCGACTACGATACGGACACAGGACTAGGTGTGTACGGTAAAAACGTCGATAGGGTTGAAAGACTTACCTTATCAGACGGAATGGATCTGATTGACGTGGTCATGTCGCTTGTCGTGATCGTTGTACGGTTGCGGAAGTTAAGCTAGTACGATATCCGTTGACGGATTCATGGAAGTCCGTCAGCTGGTCGCCGACCGCACAGCGACGACCGTACCACCGATGAGTTTGACGGTGTATTCGAAATTGTCACCGCACACAAGGCACAATAACACCGCGTTTCACACACTCGTCGTTTTCTCGTCTACGGATAAATTGATTTTTGTATTTATATTAATTGTAATCGGTTAAAAAAATTCTCTATGAACAACTATCGGTATTGCGCCGCTCTGTCGGGGGCGAGGGTCGGTCCAAGTGTGTATCGCGACGGGGCAACGGGGCAGCGCACTACGCCATATTGCCGCGGGTACGATGCACGTACATTGTAGAATGTATCGACAACGTGCCGCACAACGGTGAAATAACGAAACTATATTAGTATATTATATTGGAAAAATCGCAGGACGATATATTTTTTTTTTTTTTTATGAACAACAAAAATGAACGAACCGCGTTCGGTCGGACGTCGTGACACCAACTGCACCCGAACGCTAATGACGCGGCCGAATTAATGTAACAAGACAAATAAAATATTATTTTGTATTATGCATCGGCGGCGGCGGCGGCGCGCACACGAAAATGAGAAACGAGTCGTATGTGAGAAAAAAAAAAAAATTTTAAAAATGTGTACACTAATAATAATTTATACAATGACGATAAAATATACAGTAATGGTAATAATAACAGTGTAATGTAATGTAAAAAAAAAAAAAAAAAACGTATCCGTAACAGTGTGTGTGTGTGTGTGTGTGTGTGCACTGTGCACTGTGCGCGCCGTGCTTGATTAGAAGATGCTATAGCGGATCCTTTGTGTGTGCGTGTGACGGCCGGGGGGAAAAAACGGTGGTGGGGGCGTGTCAGGTGGTTTCGTACCCCACCGCCGCCGCCGTTCGCAAGGTGCATGCGTACATCCGCCGCCGACGACGGCCGCGAAACGTGGCAACACTGATTAAAAAAATATACACAATATATATATATATATATATACATAACAGTGTACAAAACGCTATGCACATCAGCTCGGCAAGTTACACGGTGTACACACGAGCACATTATATATATATATATATATATGTATAAGTACTATCATACGCTGTGTACACTGTACATACAGAGTGATTCATCGGTCGGTCGGTTATCGAGGAGTTTTGTGTAGGCAATAATACGCACATACAAAACGAGACAGCCCACGACTGGAAATGTATTCATTTTCGACATGATAACAGATGCTTTATCGAGTAGCAAAAAAAAAAAAATAGCTCTATATTTTATTTATTAGCTTTTATTTGACGGGCATATGTGCCCAAAATCACAGTAGGCACAATGATAACAACGATTAAAATTACGCATAGACAAATTTTAAGTGAAAAAATGGAAATTTTTTTTTACAGCAATAACATAAAATAGTTGTAAAGGAAAAAGAAATATTAAGAAAACCACAAAAATTATTTTTTACAAGTTACTTAATGAACACGCTAAATAATTCTTAGAAAATTGTGGAACGCAAAAAAAAGGTACTTTCTTCGCATATTGCGAGGGTTCATTTTAATGGATATTAGACTAAGAAGGAAGGAATTGTCAATGTCGTTCATTAACAATTTCCCAACGTGAATTAAGAATAACGTCTTCTGTAATTTAATGTTTTTAAATTTAATATAATTTGGAGAATGTATTCATAACCGGAGTGAAATTACTTCAATTTGCAGGTTACTATGACTTATAGTTCTTGTTTGCCAAATGAGACAAGCGTACTCGAGATGAGGTCTTATAAGAGAGGAATAAATTATTTAAACGTAATTGGATCGTTGTCGTTGAAATTAAAACAGTTACGTTTAATTGTAAAGAAAACAGAGGTTTTTTTTAAATTTCTTATTATATGCAAGTTAAATAACAATTTCGAATCGAAAATAACTCCAAGATCTTTTCTACACAACGCGAGAGCGCAGCGATTAATATTGTTTTTCTAAAATAATGTGCGTCAGTACATACTGATGTATTGAGTTTTTCAATTTTTAGCCAACAAAGTCGTTTTAACTTTAGGGCAACATAACTTACTTTAAAAATTTAGTTAAATATATACTTTACCGTTTCCGTTTTAAAAATTGATAAAACTGAAAAAAAAAACAAATCTAACAAATATTTGAATGATGTCTTATATTGCAAAATAACATAAACTAAAGTGTCTCCAGAAAAAAAAACAATACAATTATTACAATTACTTTTAAGAGAATAATTAGTGTCTTATCGTTATATTGAATTACCCTGTACACAGCGACTACAGCCTACATAGCGTCTCTAACAATGTATGATATGCTTACATGCCTCCGGTTGTACCGCGGGTGTCCAATGAATCATAAACCGCAAAATCCTTACCGTTAACCCGGTATCCGGTACCGGATCGTTCACCGTTCGTTGGCTTTTTGAAATTTAGACAAAATAAGAAAAAAACAATTGTACAATAGAGTAAATTTTTTTTTTATTGCTCTTTATTTTAAGTAATTTTTCTAAATGAGTTTGTTTCATTTGCAATTACCAATTTCTGATTTCTGATAATTAGTTTTGTGTAAATTATTGGAGTTTTTAAATTGCATGGTAATATAAGTTCAAGGTTATTCGTAAAGAAAGAAAAAAATGTGTTACCCATATTTTATTTTAAGTTATTTTTCTAAATGTGTTTGTTTCATTTGCAATTACCAAATTCTGATTTCAAATAATTAGTTTTGTGTAAATTATTGGAGTTTTGAAATTACATGGTAATATAAGTTCAAGGTTATTCGTCAAGAAAGAAAAAAAATGTGTTACCCATAATATAACAGTCGACTCGGTAAACAAACGTGTTCGCATTTTTCGTTTATTCTATTTAAACGGTTTATATGTTTAATATACTAAGTTATAATCTATTAAGTTTTGATTAAACAGACAAGTATTATCACTGATTAATATTATAGTTTTAAATGGTATCGTATATGTGTTAAACACTGCGAATAATACATTTTGGAATTAAAATGTAAGCGAATTTGATATAGTTTCATCGGAAATGTAAGTCAAAAATTTTTAAAACTAAAAAGTCCATTTGAAATATTGTAAATGAACAAATTCCAATGTAATAGTTTATCACGAATTTTAATTGAAAAGTTGTAAAACGCGCAGGAACTTATACTTTAAAAGTTCTTAAAGGAATTGCTTTAAAAAAACCGAATATTTTTAAATACAAACTTTATTCAAATACAGTTTCCAGCAATTGCTATATTTTTTTTAGTTTTGAAAGTTTGCAAACCATGCCACAACAGTGAAATATTTATAATTATTACACTTGTATATTATGAAACAAATATTATTCTTGTATAATTCATCAAACCTTGTAGGACTAAATAATCTAAAAACATAGCATTTTGATTTTTGAACTTTAGAAATTTTGTCGTATAGTAATGGCATTTTATGATTCGCACAAAACTATCTATTTTTATTAGAACAATAAATTATAAATATTTCTATAGAAATGACAATGTTAATCTTACGAAAAAAATATGTATAATATAAAAACCGATTAAGAATCCACATTACTGTGTTAATAAGTTTACAATACTATTAACAGATTATTAATAGCCCTAAATTTAAATTTTGCCAGAAATTGCCTATATTTTACCACTTAAAATTAAAATTCAATAAAATATTTAACATCTGCGGCTAGAAGCTATAGAAGCCATAAATGTAATAAAAGTGTAAATTTGAAAATTGTACTTTTGCTCGACTGTGACATAGATGGTATCCAATTTTTTTTATCGGTTATCAATTATTAATTATTAATTATTATTCAATTACATATCATTGAAATCGTTACATTCTGTATCGTTTAATTGTATACTATTTGCCAAGGTTAATATTTGCCCGAAGAAGATTTATGAGCCAAATAACTTTTATCTATATAAGTACCTACAGGTTTTCTATTACAAGAATTGATTTATTTCACATTGACTTGTGTTATACTTTATGCTAAGTTGAATGTTTTTCATGCAACGGTTCCGATGGAATTGTATTTTATTACAAACCGATACTTCTACATTTATTTAGCTACGAAAGAAGTACAAAATAATTCCAAGTCCAGAAAATTTCCTAAAGCTGAAATTTGCGCCACTAAACTATAAAGGTTTATAGTTTGGTGGCATCTTTCTAGATGACTAGATTCTGACTAGATTTTGATGGTCCATCGAATAAGAATTTTACAAATAATTATAATTTATAGTAGAATGGCAATAGCACGACAGCAAGCTATAAGAACCATTAAAATAATTCTGCACGTCTACCCTAGGAATAAAAGTGGTTTTCATATATCATGCCATTGACGCATTAAAGGGTTAATAAACGGGTGGTGTGACGTTTTCCAGGGAAAATATTTCAAGGACCTACGACAGAAGTGATTGCTTTTGTTTTCGAAGAAAATACGGATTGTTACTGTAGTGTATTGATTTATTCTATTTATAATACACAATTGAGTTGTCCTATTGTTAAAAAGAAAATAAATGGTAGCATTAACAAATGCGGACATGCGGGCGACAAAGCCTTCCCCATACGTTCACCCCAAGCCGCTGTTATTTTGAACAATAGCTCGGATAAAAAAATTTTTAAAAAAAAATCCTCAATCAGGATATATTAAAAAATCAATGTCATTACATCATATTTATAAAAAAAAATGTACAGCGAGGTGTCGTGGTATTATTCCCGAATTAAAGTAAATTAGTTAAAGGTCAATATGAGTCATTAGTGAACCTCATTAGTTTAAAAGAGACATATTTTTGGTGCTAAAACATTTTTGTTAATTGACACGATCACGTTATTTGTATGTATAGTTTGTACGTTTATGTATATTTTTATAAAACAAGTCAACGCTGTAAATTCCATAAAATATACCTTCAAGCATTTTTTTTTTTTAATCAGTTTTTATTTGATTTATTTATTTATTCATACGTTTCTAGTGCAAAAAAATATTATTTTAACTGAAAATTATCTGAAATCACTTTCGAATAAAGTACAAATATCAGTAAAACCACTGTGCCTAATGACAAATGACAATACCGTACTTAACAATGGATTTTCAGATAGTTACCAAAGAAACAATACTTTCTGATAGGTAGTGTCGATGAAAAGAAAAAAACGAGATTAACTAATGACGTGGCCAATTATTGGTTTTGGGTAGCTGCGCGAAAATACATGCTTTTATAGAAAAGAAAAAAAAGAAATCAGATTAAATTATTTACGGACAAAAAATAGCCAAACGATTAAAATCTAGAATAAAATTTGTAACTTGGTTTTTGTAACTAATCTATATTATAAAAACTTATAGAGCGCCTTGATTTTCATCTCAAAAATATGAAATTGTCAAGAGGTGAACATTTCTAACTTATGGCAGAATAAAGTACCATTGAGGCACGACTTCTGATCTACAAGTTTCCTATTTGAAGAAATTGCCCAGAGACAAAAATAAATTATAATACACATCATTATAAAAACAATATTTTCTCAGCCGCGCATCGAAGCTAAAAAATACACATATTTAAATTATACTTTAATGGCTTAAGAATTAAAGCAAACGTCGAAACCGTCTGCAAAATAAACTTAATTGTATTTACTATTTGAATATTTATTTTTGATTTTCAAGTTAATAGTTAATACATTGATAAGGCGACAGAATGCCGTTATCAATTCTTGTGTTTTTTTCTTCCATGACCAATGTCAATAATTTCTTCCATGAAATGCAGAAGGTTCATTCGATTTTTTTTCTTACACGATTAAAGATAATAATATTACGATTGCCTAAAATTGTACTATAAGAAGTTCACAGTCTTGAGGTGCTATCTATCAGTAAACTACTTCACTGCAGACTGCTTGTATTTGTAATTAAACAATACAAATGATTTGTGTTAATCCACGGTAAGTACCGTGTCACTTGATTTTTGGAACTTTTGAGGAAAGCAAAAACAAATTTTCCACTTTTTTCATAGATTCTTATTTTTGCCAAAGATTAAAAAGATTAAAGCTACTGCTTGTTTTTATTTTTTTATCACCTTCAAATTGACAAAAACCAAGGTTTTCTTCTCTGTGGCAGTCGACATAAAGACGTGTAAAATATCTAAAGATAAAGCTTCATTAAAAAAAAAATATTTATCACGTACGAATAACATGGAAATACAATTTTGCTACCTGTATAATTTAAATTTTAAATGAACTGAAAGATATTAATCAAGATGAGTTGCTAAAGTGTTGCAAGGATCTACACACGACATTGGATGGTGACATTGAGGGTATTGAATTGCACCCAGATGATTCGTAAAATAATTCCTCCAGTGCTCGGTTGTTGAAGCTTTGCAATTTATTCTTGAAAATAATCATTTGGTCGTAAATTATTTTTTTAAATAATATTTCCTTCAACAGTAACCACTGCAACAACAGAGAGATATTTTTCTAAATTAAAACGATTATAATCGACATTTCCCATCTTTATTAATGACAATTAAATATTATATTATAATAGAGTAATATAGTTATTATCATGATACAGTTTAAAAACATAAATACATATTATACATTTGTACATAAAAAAAATAGCATTATGTACCTATTATACATTAACTGTTACTTTGTAATTTGTCAAAATTTAAAATTGGCGCGCTAATATGTCCAAACGATTTGGTAGCTGCAAAATTCGACCAACAGAGAGCGCCACAAAGTTGTCTGATTTACATAATATTATTATCACAGAACAGATTCTATTCTGCGATTGTACCTATTGACTTTTTTCCCACCGTCTCGGTATTGTAAGACGTTTTATAATATATGTGTATATAAATATAGTATAATATACATGTATACATTCATAATATTTGTTGGCCATTATCTCATCCCAGTGTCTCGTGGACCGCGTACTCCGGTCTTTTTCGCGTGTTTATAGTGGAACATTATTATTATTTGTTTATCAATATTTTCGTTTAATAAACACAATGCCGACTTATCGCCGTGTAAAAGCCAATAAATAAATAGACTAATATTACAATATCACGGTAATAGGTTTTTGTTTTTTTTTTTTAATCTTATTTACCGCATTCGACTCGTACCGTAAGTGGTCACGTTATTATTATTTTTTTTTTCCACTATTATTCAGTCGTTTTTTTTTTTTTTTTTGGTTTTCCGGACTAAGGTCAGTATGTTGCATTTTTTTTTTACATGTACAATAATTATAATAATAATAATTGCTATACATTATCATATAACGTATCCATGTTTTAAAAAAAAAAAATTAACCAAATCGTTTACAGGTGAAATGTGTTTGCCTGAGTACCAAAAACCTATCGACGATTTGCCCGTATCCGACGAAGAAGTCGACGAAGTGGACAACGACGAAGAACAAGTCGATGGCGATGCCGATGCCGAACGGTCGTCGTCCAGTAACGGTTCCACATCGGACTCGAGCATAGGTAACGATCGTAGAAAACTGAATATGTATATCGCAGCAACGTCGGTTTCCGTTTGACGTCTCCAATAGATCGCTATCAATCAAAACCAATCGTTGTGATAAATCGTGGTTAATTCGCCCTCTTAAGTTTTCAAGATTGTTAAATTAAAATGTTGTAGCTGTTCAAGCTTGAAATTCAAACCCTTTAAAAAAATATGCATGTTAAACGTATTTAAAATTGTAGATTTAGGTTTTACAAAATATCAATATTTTTTCAGTCAGTTGGATAAGCGAACACGACTATGCCAACGATCTTTTCGACGGTGACGTATCAATGTCCGACGACAGCGACGATATTGACAATATGGGAGACGACACAGACGGGACATCAGACGACGGCGACGACGACGATGATCAAAACTTAGTGCCTAACGGATGTGACGATGACGACGACAGTGACAGTAATGACGATGATGACGACGATGAAGACGAAGAAGAAGAAGAAGATGATGTTGTAGCCGCTTTCCTTGCTGCCAGTTCGACAAGAAATAGAAACCATCCGCCAAATTTGAACGTCGGCAGTAACGTCCTCGTCAGTGCGTTGTCTTTTCATCCGTGCACCAATGTCATTGCATTCGGTTTGTCAAACGGTGATATATCTATGTACGTTCTGTCCCGAAAAAATATGTAATACGTTTTAGATAATTTTTTTTTTTTACATTTTTTTTACAGGTACACTTACAACAACGAAAGGAATGAACACTTGAGGACCAACGATAATGTTCATTTGAAGAAAGTCATGATTTTAGAATTTGACGAATCTGGACAGAGCATTTATTCGGCTTGTAAAGAAAACAATGTATCGGTGTCCGACATTGAAACTGGCAAAATGAAAGTGTATTTTGAAAAAGCTCATAAAGACGGGTTAGTTTTTACATAGTTAGACTACCGCGCCATTAGGTTTTTTTTTTTTTTTTTGTCTCAAAACCGATTTCCAGGATTGGAAGACGTGTTGCGACGGCACTCTATATAAATACAGTTGTTTTATTTTCTCTAAAATCGTATTATTATAATTTTAATTTCGTTTTCAGAGGTTTTATAACGTCGTTGTGTCTTCTCGACGAAAACTCGTTCGCTACTGGTGACGAAGACGGCATAGTAAACGGTAAGGAGTAAACTACTATTATTTGACTGTTACAATGTAAACAATTAATTTTCGATATTCACGTTTTTATTGTTAGTGTGGGACGTAAGAGCGCACGGTTGTCGATTTTCATTGAAAAAAACCGACGACAGTATAAACTCTATAATTGCTTTAGACGACAAGAGTCGGCTGGCTTGCGCTTCGAGCGACGGCGTTTTGACTGTTATAGATTTAGCTACGAAAAAAATGATTTTACAGGTATAAAGAGTCTTTTATTTTAGTTTCCTTTTCAATCAATACATACTAAATATTGAATCAATAATTAATATTTGTTTTTTTGTATTATTCAGTTAAAAAAAAAAAATACTTTCTTATCGAAAACAAGCTTACATAAAAATAATACAAAAATATTTGTAGTCATTTATTTAATTTTTCGTATTTTATTATTCTCCCAGTCCGAACCCTACAAATCGGTGTTGACGAGTTGCGTGACGATGAAGCGTAAAACAAAGGTGGTGTGCGGCACAGGCGAGGGATCGTTGATCACGTTCAACGCCGGCGACTACGCCGTGTACAACGACGAATTCCCTTGTGTCGACAAAGGGGCCGTCGTCAACAAGTTAGTGCCCGTCACCGAGAATATCGTCTTGAGCGCTTTGGACAACGGAAAAATCAGGTTAAAAATGATTTTTAATTTGGACGACTACTGTTGTATTTTTAATACAATTTCGCTTTATCCCGATTTTATTTTTAATTTTACGTCCACAGGGCGACAAATCTATTTCCCAACTGTCATCTGGGTATAGTCGGACACCATCAGGCGACGTCCGTCGATATGTTGGACATATCCGATAACGGACGACTCATCGCCTCGTCTTCGTGTTTCAGTAACATCGTCAAGTTTTGGAATATAGAATTTTTCGAAGATTTCGATATCAAAAAGCATTTAAAGACTGTCAACGCCAAAGACTTTAACCTTCCGTCGTCGAACGCCGTCAACGCTACGGACTTCTTCTCTGGCCTTCAATAATAAAAACAAAATAAAAGTCGTCTACTACGTTTAAAAAATGTAAATAACATCGTTGTGTCTAAAAATATTGTAAAAATGAATATAATTATATATTGCTATTAATCTTGTAATCTTGTTTTTAGAGTTTCTCGTACGACAAAGTAGATAAAATAACAACGTGACCTGGGCTAAAATTTGTATTATAAACCGCTGGTGTATTTTTACACAAAGACTGTATACTGTTAAATTTAATTGGTCTTTTAAAATTTATGGAATTCAAACCATATTCTATGATGTTTAAGAAGAAAAATAACATTGTATCGATAAATTTATCGAGTTTGAAAAATTATTATACTTTTTTTCAACTGTAAAAAAAACATTTAAATTATTTTTTTTTATTTTACATTTTCCCCTAAAAATAATAGAGAAAAATCCAAAATGTGTCGGAAAATATTTTCTAAAAATACACATTCGAATATTACTATACTACTATTTTAGTAATTTGCTTAAACATAAATAAACGTAGTCGTACAAATCGATAATTTAAACTACGCTATTTGCAATAAATAGGTATAATAATAAATCATTTTATTCAAGTCTCAAAATGTGTTTCCAATGATATAACATAGACTGTAAGTATTAAAAATTATTATTTAGGTATTTACAATATAATAATAATAATAATAATATCGAGTACAACTCCAAAGACGTGTGTACAATCATAGTGAGCTTATGTTATTAACAAAAGTAGGTTTGGAATGTATACAAACTAAATTAAATTACGGCTAAGATATTATATTATTAATATTATTTACTAGTAAACCGACAATTTACCGATACTGCAGAAATAATAATTAACAATACAAACGCAACGATTTTACATATGTTAAGGTTTTTTTTTTCTTCATTTTTATGGGAGACGATTTAACATTAAATTAAAATAAATATATAATATTTAGAAATACGTACATAAAATAATAGTAAATTGCTAAAATAATTATAATTAAATAATACGTCGATTAAAAAATATATTGTGTATGTAGTTTGTCCGGTATGAACGGCTGAAGAGATTATCGAGATCCTGTCTGGTCGGGCCGATAGTAATGAGACGACGGGTGCGACGGATGGACAGGCGGCGGGAAACATCTGACGTGTTCTACGGCGCTGGCGTCGGCTTCGTTTGTTTTCAAAAACTTGTTCAACGTGGCGAATATCTGCGAGTTCAACACTTGGAACCTGCGTATTCTGTCGACCATGCGTTTCAAATGCTGCGACAAAATAAAAATGTACACTATTATTAAATTACAAAGACGAGTGACTTATGGCTACGGAACGGCCACTCACGATTCCTTTGACGTTGTCGTCCTTACTGTCGACCCTCTGCACTCTGAGGATATGATAGCAAAAGTCCAACGCTTCGAACCGCCGTTGTTGGCCCAACAGTACGATCATCGTGCAACCGGCCCAGTGCAGACCTTCACCGAACAGTTGTCTGTAAATCGACAAATTTATTATAATATATTTTTTACGGGTCGATTATATTCTATACAAGTGCACTACTGACTCGACGGTGAATTCCGTATCGCCGACTGGAATGCAATAGACAAACTGAAGAGCCGACCACAACCGATGGAATTCGGTGCATTCGTCAATGTTCATAACGCCGTTCTGCGGAGGCGGTCCGACCCACACTGGATCGTCCAACATGCCGCGCAACCTCGAAAGCACCACTTCGAAGATGGACAAGCCGCAACACAACCGTTCACGCGTCAACAAATCTCCGTCGCGAGCTATTCCGACTTGCTAAGACAACAAACGTTGTAAATTAGTATCGATAAATTAAAGCGAACACCGGTTAATGGTAAGTGGGAACGGAGATGAACCCACGACACAAACCTTGGCGGTTCCGTAACGTTCCATGTTGGGTACGATTTGCAGGGCGGCATACTTTGCTTCGAGCCGCTTTTGTTTGCTTTCGGCTTTCTCTCCCTCCTTGGTGAACGGCCTGGGCAAAATGTTCTGGAACGGTGCCGCGTGCAAGAGGTCGCACACCTCCTCTTGGGACAACGCTTGTTCCATGAGCAGACAAAACAAGATGGTGTTGCCCAGCTCGCGGAAGTTGTGAAACAGTTCGGTCTTGGCGTCGGGATACTGTACGATGTCGTTCAGCTGAGCGTGATAGTAGCCCAGCACGCCGGGCGACCCGTAATCGTACCTGGGAAGTTTGCACTGTCGGGGCATGGCTTCCATCAGGGTCTTGGCGAATTGCAACAGGTTGCCTTGAATCAACGACTTGACAATTTTCAACAGTTCCTCCATGACCACAGCGATGCCTTGGTAGCCTAACATTTTGCACATGGTGCGAAAATGTGGCGCTCCGACAAATCCTGAAATCGAACAACAGACACACAAACTCATTAAAACTCCTCTATTCGGTTAGTTAATCAGTCGACGACCCGTTGGCCACGTACCGGTGTATTGTCCGTAAATAGTAGTGTAAGCCAGATTCAGTTGTTTGCTTCCCCACAGATACTGATGGCCCATTTGAGGCGGCTTGTCTCTGTGCACGTCTTGGGTGAAGTTCAGTCCTTTGAACTTGACGAAACGGTTGGTGGCGGCGTTGTAGCAATAGTTGGGTAAGAAATCATAGTTGAGCTCCCAAAATACGTGCAACGTGATGCGACCGTAAGGAGCCAAGACGTTGTGGTTGGCTTCGCGGAACATTGCGTCAAACTCGTCCAGAGCCAGCAGTTTGCTCAACAACTTGTGACACAATCTGTTCACTTGCATTATTCCCTCCAGTTCCTGCAATAGAAATACACGTTTAAGCATTCGAAGCGACGCCACAAAACAACGGTGTACGTACCACAATGCCGGTGATGTCGCCGCCTTCAAACTTGGCTATGGCCAGTTCTAACGATTTCAACATGTCGGCGTTTACTCGTTGCGTGATCAACTTGTTCAAATCGACACTGCGTCCCAGCAGTTGGACGTGTCTCTGTTTTAGTAAGGTTTCGTATCGGTTAGCCCTAGGATACAGCACAAGGTAAGTGCCCATGGCGACACACTCCACGCGGAACCTTTTGTCCAAGAGTATGCTCGAAGCCAGCTGTTTGTAGTGCGCGAAAATCTGTTCGCTCAGTTTGTAGACAAACTGGTCGAAACATAAGTTCACTTCGGCCTCGACCTCGTCGTACAAAAATTGTTTCCGGAAAACGGTGAGGGCGTACTGCGCGCTGTCGTTGTACAAGTCCAACGGGTACAGAACGTACTCCATCATGGACGGCTCTTTGGTTTTCAATATGTGATCGGTCAGGATCCAGGGCATCGACATTTCGATGGGGAACTGAATGCGCTTTTCCATGGTGATCAGATCGCTGCACTCTTCGTTGTGCTGATGTTTGACGGTGCATTTCTGTATACGTCTGGCCATGGTCATTTCCAAATAGAACTCTCGATACCACAACTGGGACAGGTCACAACACTGTTGCAAAGATTCTAAAACAATAATATTACAATAATTTATCCAATCAGAAGCTAGAAAAGTACTACTTTGATTAAACACAACGGCAATACGTACGACTAAACCCAAGTAGATAACTCCAGAAAAAAGAAGTCTTGTGAAACTGATCTATCTGCATAAGATACTGTCCGTCGATGTCTTTGCGAAGGGTACGTTTGCCGCCGGATTTGTCGGCAATCAACGATTCCAACATTGTTCTGACCATGTAGAGTTGAGTGGACGACGGACCTAAACGGCGATTAAACGATAAGTAGAATTTCGTAGACTTATTAAAAAAATTCTGATTTTGCATACTAACCGACATTCCTTCTGGGCACTTTGATTCCGAACCCGACGTCCGGGTCCTTTTTTCCTTTCAGAGCCGGATCCGCCGAAGGCTCCACGCCTCTCTGCCAGTCGGCACACGTTTCTCGGACCGACACCAGTATACTGCGGATCAAATCTCGTTTGTTTTTAATCGCTTTCCTCAACGGTTCTCTCAATATGAGCTGCACGAAATCTTGCAGTTCGGCGTAAATATTACGGCGGATGGTGTCCGTGAAAACCGTTTCCATGCGCGCCATCAGCACCTGTAGACCTTTGATCATGGCGATCACTTCGATGAGCGCAAACTTTTCCTCGTCCGTGTAATTGTAGCGGGTCGCTCTCTCGTACTCCTCGGCCTCTATCGGGCATTCTTTGTTCTGATGATGGTCGGTGGGATGTAGCAGTTTCCACGAATATAGCTCCGTCACCACGCTCGTCCATTCGGACAACAGTTGCAAGCCTCTCAGCGCCAACTCGGCCGTGTCTTTGTTTTCGATGTCCGTCCTCGTTTCTTTGTACGTGGTGGTCACTTCGTTGCTGTAACGCGCCAACTCGCTTATGTACTTGACGTGATCTTCTCGGATTTGCGGTAAATGCACCATGAGGTCGGCTTGAGGGCTAATTTGCAGTGAACTCGACAACGGCCATCGTCCCGGCTCAAAGTGTTTGGATCGCTTGATATAGTTGAACGGCGCGATTTGCATGTCACCGAACAAAGGGACTACTTCTAAATTCTAAATCAACAAATTAAACACAATATTATTCAATTACAATGTCCCCAATAAGTATAGATAATAAGCCGCCGATTGAAATTGTACCTTGAAAATCCTGTCGATTTTTCCCAAGTTGAGTTTCTTTTTGTGATCCAACTTGTTGATGTTACACAATTCGTTATCCATCAGAAACAATCCAAATCCCATCACCTAAAACATTTTTTCGTTATATTAACAAACCTCGGTGACGGTAAATAATTAGCTGTTGTTACTAACTTTGACCAGCATATGTTTTTCAGACGGCGTAAGGTACATTTTCGATTCGAACATCTGAACGCACAAGTTGACGACATCCGACAACAACTCTTCGTACGCCGGTATTTTCTCTAAATTCTCTTTCACCGTGTCACGGATTTTGTTTTGAGTGGCCAAAAACATGGACAAGTTTTGCGACTCTTGTAGGGTATGCGAATCGGCCATGACTTTCAGAAACTGAGCGGCACGTCGATAACTGGAATAATCGTTTTTCACGCTGGACTTCATGTTTTTCAATTCGTCGAGCACGGCAAACATGTTGATGAATTTTCCGAGCGTCAACAGATACGCTTCGGACACGAAATCCTTACGCTTTTCGGCGTGGCACAAACGTTTGACTTCTCCGCAAAACCGTTCAATGGCTTTGCGCTTGAGCGCGGAGGCAAAAAACAAATTAGTACACTACTATTCGAGAAGGTAGTGTAAATTTTAGAGGTTTAAACACTACTCACTTGGAAGTACATAAACTGAAGGAGCTTGTTGACTTCAGGCCCCAGCACTTCGACAGTCTTTTCGTAGATCTCGACGCGATTGGGTTGCTCGTTGGACTTGGGCTGAGGAATTGCGCGCGAGCAACATCGCCAAGTGTACAACATGACGGCGTGTACCTGACCCTCGTCCAACAGCTCGTTCTAAACGAATTGTACAAAGCTAAGTACGGAGAAATTTTGCTAATCGATTAATAATAACTTACCAGACTGGCGTGTACGGTGGCTTCTTCGATGTACTTGGCAATGCCCGTGACAAAGCCGTTGCGGTCTTCGAAGTTTGTATCGAAGTCGGCCTGGTACAATATCGAACACGGTTGCGCTTCGATGCACGGCTGTTCGTCGGGCAACGTGAGTTCATCGAGTACGTCCACGTTGGACAAGGCGTCGGTCAACGTTACTTTGTCTGTGGCCATGACTCGGTTGTAAGAGGAAGTATTAATGAAAATATATATTAAACAGGTGTACAAGAAAGAAATATATTATGTATTATTATAACAGTGTTATAAAGTTTGTTTGTTTTTTTTACACTAAACTTGAACTGACACGCGAATGTTTGACTTTTCGATTGTGTAGAAAGCAAAAACAACAACGTTTAACCATTTTAATACACACAAACGGCGGTACCGTCGATTGGATTTAATTAAATTATAAAAAGGAATTTAATATCAGTCGACGAATTCGTCGTATCCGACGCCGTTTGTATGATACACCTATTTTTTTTTTTTTATTATATTTTGTGATTGACGCAGTGTAGTTGCACAACGCGTCGAAGAAAAAAACCGCAGGTATGTCGGCTAATCGTGATAAGCGCAAAATGGACGCCGGATCGCGTAGTCCGATACCGGTGACCATTTTGTAAAAACTGATAACGCGAGCCGCCGGCATACCTTTGGTCTCGACGCGGTACATACGATTGTTGTTACACTGTTATCAGCGCAAACATGTTTATACCATTTGGTGTCTAACATCTGATCGGTCGCTGTTATCATTCGATTCGAGTACCGCTGGTAAGTTCATACCGCTGCAAAATCGAGTATCAATTTTTGAATATGCCAAACGAAATGAGTAATGACTTATTCACTTTACACTTATACAATGTTTTTCAGTTTGTAAAATAATAAATATATCGTTCAGCTTTTTTTGTACTCATAAAAATATGTCTAAGTCTTTATTCACTTCGTATTAAGTTTAATTAATAACAATATTCATAGTCGCCATGTCGCTATTTAAACTGTGTCCGTTGAAAAGATTTTATTCCAGCACTTCGGTCAAAGATATTTTCGAAACGCGACCGATCGGTTGTAAAAAAAAACTAAAGGTAATAAAATATAAATAGTAATACCTGTGATTGTGGATTTTAAAGCCGGGTCCAAAAACAATCTGCACGAAGCTATAAAAAAAATCCTAGGTACTGTTATTATAAATTACTATAATATGACTTACTTGCTTATTTTTGCATTAAAAATATTTGGATATGGCTCGTTTTAGGGATGGGCCAGAGCGATGCGCAAAATGAAAGACAAGATGTTCGTAGATCTAGACGACGGTTCTACTCATCGACGTCTTCAAGTGGTAATACCCAGAGATAGGACGCCCGATTCGCTGTCCTACGGTGCTTCGTTCGAAGCGCAAGGTGTGTTGGCCGTCAATCGGAACGATCAGCTCGAATTGTCCGCCGACTGTGTTTCCGTGCACGGACCGTGTTCTGTCGAGGACGGTTATCCGTTTGCGCCCAGAAAGACCTACCAATCCGATTACGTACGTCAACATTTACACATGCGACCGCGTACGGCCGATTTCGGCAGTCTATTGCGTATCAGAGACCGATTGTCCACGGCCGTCAGGAATACGTTTTCCAAAGACGGCTACACCGAAGTGAACGTGCCCGTGTTGTCGTCCAACGATTGCGAAGGCGCCGGCGAAGTGTTTGTAGTTCGGCCTGAAAATGAAAACATGATCAAAACCATGATTTCCAAAGACAACCAATCGTCCTTTGAGGCGTTTTTCAACGGTCGGACGTACTTAACGGTGTCCGGTCAATTGCATCTGGAGTGCTTGGCCCGGGCATTGACCAAAGTGTACACTATCGGTCCGACGTTTAGAGCGGAGAATTCCAAATCCAGACTGCATTTATCGGAATTTTACATGATCGAAGCCGAACAAGCTTTTATCGGCAACATAGAACAACTGTTGGCCGTCATAGAAAATACCACGTCGTCTGTTGTCGAAAAACTGTTAGCCAATTGCGGCGATGAAATTGATTTTTACAGAAAATCAAATGGCACGTCCGAAGAGTACGATTTAACGAACCTAGTCAAAACTCCGTACGAAGTGATGAGTTACGAACAAGCGTGCAACGTTCTCGAGAAGGCAAATGACAATTTCAAGAAACCTCTAGTCCGAGGTAGATCGTTGACCAAAGAACACGAATTGTTTTTAGTCCAATACAACGGCAACAAACCTATTTTCGTCGTGGATTGGCCGCAAGAGCTCAAGCCGTTTTACGCCAAAGCGTCGCCCGACAACAGTTTGTTGGTGAGTACGTTTTCTTCGGCAACAATTATTAGGGATCGGTTTTTTTAAACACTTGTACACTTACAGGTATCGACCGTGGATCTGCTGTGTCCGAACGTCGGCGAATTATGCGGCGGCAGCGTACGTGAAGACGATTACGATGCGTTACGAGAGAAGCTATCGCAAATTGGGTTGCTGGACAAACTGGATTGGTACTTAGAGTTGAGGAAGTACGGCAACGTGCCGACTGCCGGTTTCGGAATAGGATTCGAACGATTCATCCAAGTGTTGCTCAACGTCCAAAACATCAAAGACACCGTCGCGTTCCCTCGTTACCCGCATAATTGTAAAACTTAACCATTTGTATCGGCAACATCGTCGATATTATCGATTTGAGAAAGTTCTCTTTCTCATTTCTGTGTAGTGAAAAACCTATTTGTTATTATTAATTGGGTGTACTTGAAAATAAATAAAAACTCAACTAAAAATTTTGTTGAATTACTCGTTTATTGAAAAAAATTATATTTTTACGTCGTTAGCAAAAACAATCCAATTAAATAAACGTCGCGTTGAACAACCTACTGAATTAACAAAAAAAAAACTAAATCTCAGTTACTCTTGATGTTCCTTGTTGCACATTACGAGGAGTTAAGGCCTTTTGAGTATAATATTACAACAAAATTCTAAAAAATAATTTTTTACTCTATATAATTATAATATTTATAAATATGTTCCCATTTAAGACACGACGATAATAATTATATTACGTTGTAACCGCGACTAAGCGAATGCAATTTTATAATAAGCTCGTAACGCTATACATAATAATAATTATAGGCATATAGACAATTAAATAATTATTTATAATAGTTTTATTGGTGTGGTAATTTAATTCATTTTTGTACATTCTATTTAATTACATAAATTTTGCCGTAAGCGCCAAACGAGTCGGCCTACGAAATTACAAAACAATTTGTAGTTATAAATATATAAAACTATATATATATATATATATGTATATACACACATCAGATGTATTTTTTATTTACCCTGCGACTCGAAACGATATACAAAAATAGATTACAAAAAAACATCAGCCGTTTACACCACAAAAGGGATCTTTTAATTCTTATTATTATTACTTGCGACCGAGTAATCGTTTCGAGAGACGACAAAATTATTATTAAATATTAACACTATTAATATAATAAAAAAAAATTATAATTTATTTTTGGTAAAAAAAAAAAAATAAAAATCAACAGTTTTTTTTACTTAAATATATAATAATAAAATAATATACACAATATGTACAAAATATTTTCTCTTATACTTATATCACATTTTTTGTTTTATTTTTATTATTATTTTTTTTTTTACTTGTAAAATTTACAAAATTCAAAAACGATTGTAATATACAAAAAAAAATTCGGAAGTCGACAGGAAAAAGATTTTTGAACATCACATGATCGAACACAGCCCGGACATTTCCTTGCCCTTGTTGACGACGGGGTATTCCCTGAGTTTCTTAGCGTTGTTCATTATTCTCGGTTTCAAGTCTCGTTGCGGCGGCGGTACTTGCGGCTGCTGCGGTGGTTTAGCGGGCACCACCAGGACGGTGTCCATTTCTAGTCCGGGCGGCGGCGGTTGATCCGGATCGATTTCGCCAAAGGTCGGCGTCAGGTCTTGCGGGTTCACTTCGACCACCGACGACGACGACGACGTTTCCACGACGTTGGGCTTTGACGACGGTTTGAGGGCGGCCGAAGCTTTTTGACTTATGTTTATTTTAATGGTTCCCATGGCCGGCGCTACTGGAACGTTCCACTCGGTGTTGGTGTTGCCGTCGATCGAGCACGTCATGGTCGATAACACCGGAGACGGCGACTTGGATTTCGCTTTGACGATTACCACTTCGGTTTTGTCTTCGGCCTCGACGCCGACATCGTTGTCGTTGACATTCTCTCCGACGACGTTCGGTTCTTGTTTAACGGTCGTCGTTGTCGTCGATATGTCCTCCGAAACCTCCTCCGAATGAATGACCTCCATATTCTCCGGAATGTCTATATCGTCAAAGGTGTCTCCACGGCCGTTTGTCGTTTTGGTATCGACGGTGTTTTCGTTGACGTATTCCATTTTAATATCGGACGGCTGCTGATCGGCTTTTGCGTCAACCCGCGTTACGGGTTTACTCTCTAATCGACTCAGCTCTTCGGCTTCTTTTTGTACCTGTTCTTGGTATTCGCGTTTAATTCTCAGTTTGTCTTCGTTTTCGCATTTGATTCTCAACTGTTCCTCTTGTCGTAGTTTCTCTTTGATTTCTTTTTCTAATTGCCGTTCCTGTTTGATTTCCATTTCGTGGATTTCCAATCGTTTGGCCTCTTCGATGGCATCGTTGCGTTTACGGATTTTCTCCTCTCGGGTTTTCTTGAAAGAAAATAAAAACAAACACAATTAGACACATAATTAAAATTAAAACAAACAAGCAAAATTATATAAACAATTAGCACATTGTTGTGATGAATGATACGGTCAAACGTTATCTCCAAATTTGACTTACAATCATATCGTTGTAACACATTGGATGGTAGAGGTGTTTGTCTTTATCGATACAATTCCTGAGTTGCCACTCTTCGTCTTTTTCGCTGTAAAACTGCTCAAACTGATCGTGACAAAGGTAACAGGCGGCCAACTCGCTGTTTTCCCCGGCCGGCACGCACGGTACGTTGTCTTCTTCGTCCTTCTCTTCTTCTTTGACGCCTTGTTCGGCTTGTAAATCGAACCAACTGGCAGCTAATAAAACAAAATAAATGTATTTAATATATTTTTTTTTATTCGTAGAGGTAATTTTTTTGTTACAGTAAAAAATAACCAACCCCTAGTCGTCTCGTCTTCTTGTTCTTCGTATTTACACCAATCGCTGGTGTCGTAGTACCACTTTCTCGACTGCACAGTCTTGCTGGCCATTTTCTCGCGACGGTTTTGTCTGAAATGCCAGTCCAAGTGGCTACTGTACTTGATCGTATACTCGGCAGTGAAACGTATGCCGCAAGAACTACACTGGATGCCGGTGTACAAGTTGTGTATCAGTCCGGGTTGTTTCCTGTGACAAAAAATAAATAAATAAATAAAATATAAATACATTACACCAAACCCCATTTGTGTTTATGGATTTTTTTTACAATAATATTTAAACGGTAAATTTGTCGTCACACATACTGTTTTAGCGTTGACGGATCTGAGAAATCTACGGGTTTAACGGTCAAGTCTTCTTGTTCTTTCTCCTTTTTCTTGATTATAGGCGATACAACGACTTCTTTAGGTTTGTCTTTGGGCACGATGCCGCTGGCCACCAGTTTCATGAACAGCTCGTTGATGTCCATGTTGCTGGGCAAAATAGACGGAACCGAAGACGATGATGGTACGTTGGGCGGCGGAGTGGAAAAAGAATTGACGACCGGCTGCTCCAACTGCGGTTGCGGTATAACGGCCGGAGGCATTATATTGACGGGCGGCATCGTAGTGGCTAAAGCGGGCAAACAATAAGAATTAACAACAAGTCAATATATTGTTATAATGGAAAAAACGGAAAGTAAACTTACGTGGAACCAAAGAATAAGTCGAAGGTGCAAACGACTGAGGCGGTTGACTGATGTCTTCGACGGACAGCGGTATGTTCATGCCGGTGAAGTTGGGCGGCATCGGAGGAGCCGGCAACGGTTGCAGAGCGTCGACGGCGGTGTCTTCGGTGAGCACGACGCCCATCATTTGAGCGATGACCGCATAGCCCGGTTTGACGGTCTGCGGCAGTCCGGTGAACCGCAGGTAATGCTTCTTGCCCCGCACGGTTATCGCTTGAGGAGGTCCGTTGTAGTTGACTTTGAACGGCTGGTCGTTGATCAGCGCCCTCATCAGTCCGTCGATGAACCGCAGTATCAGAGCGGTGTTGCCGACTTCGATGCGTTGCGGCTTGGCGTCCAGATAGACAGGCACGGTGTACGTGTCGTCGATGATAACGGCTATGCGTCCGGCGACCAAGTCTTTGCGCGGCTCCTGGCCGATGTTCACCGACGGCGGTGGCCCTTCCAGTTTGACGGACCGCTTGACGCCGCCCAGCTCGGTGTACACCGGTGGCCCGCCGAAGAAACACTCGTAGAACTTGCCGTCTAGGTACAGTTCCCGGGTGGGCGCGCCCAATCGGACGCGGTGCGGTTGCCCGTCCAACAGGAACTCAATGTCGTTCTGATTGAAATGGCACAGCACCGAGAACAGATCGTCGAATATGACGTTCTTGGGCGGCCCCTGGAAGTATATCTCCCGGGGATCGTCCCACGACACGAACGTGATGGCCGTCGGACCGTAGAACCGGATTTCCCGGGACACGCCGTCGATGTTGATGGTCTGCGTGGGGTCCCGGGCGATCATGTCCAGTATGACGGGATCGGACGGCGGGATGACGGGAACGGTCCAGTCGGGCGTGGACGACGCGAACGAGGCCGTGGGTTGCGGCACTTCGTACCGGGGCAGCGGCACCAGCGTCCTGGACGAATGACAGTAATTAGGCCGAGGCCCTCTCGACCACGGTTCGATCCTGTTCTGCTGGCCGAACCTGGGCGGCGGCGGTCCGCTGTCCGGTCTCGGGTTCCAGTTTTTGTTCTGGTTGTTCCTCCAGTTGGCCCGGACGCCTTTGACGATTTCTTTTTGCCGGAACATCTTGGTACGTCTGTTGAACATTGGCCGGTCGTCGGCCGCCGCCGTGTGAGACGATTTTCTTACGTTCTTCGAGTTCTCCGATTCGGATTCGGACGACCCGCCGCCGCCGCCGCTTTTGTTGGAACAGCTGTCGCTTTCGCTGCCGCTCAGGTGGTCGGCGCCGCCGGTAGGTGGTTTTTTGTTAACCATACTCCACGGACCGGTGGTGGTGACCGGGAAATGTTCTGCCGGTATAGGTTTTATTAAATTCACTCTCTCGTCTATGTCCATCGGTTTACATCCGCTAACGCCGTCTTCGTCGGTGTCCGCCGCACAACAGTTTTGGTTGTTGTTGTCTACGGGTTTGGCCGCCGGTTCTTCTGACGCCGGCTGCGCCGTTTCTTCCTCATACTTGGTCGGATGACGATGATCGTTTTTTTGGTTTTCAACAACGGTTGGCTTGACCGGCGACGACGGTAGCCGTTCTAGGATTTGATCGGCGGTTTGGAGTACATCGGCGACAACGACGTTGGCTCGAAGTAAACAATCGGCCGTTCCGTTTTCGTTGGCCACCGCCGGCGTTGGATGAGCGATTTTTGATTTTTTTACTTTTAACGCGTTGTTGGTGTCTTCGGCGTTTTTCACTTCTTCCAATTTTTCCACTTCGGTCATTTCGATTACCTGAACATACACAATAGACATAGTAAATAAACAAGCCAGTAAAACGTGGTCGGGGCATTGTGGGCACGATGAGGTAAACAGTGTCATCTAAAGCCCCCCCCCCCATGCATAGCCTAAGACAGTCATGTCAATCAAATATAATACACATCACACACGACGACCATCTTACCTGGCACATGACTTTCTTGTACTCGTCGAACGTTATGCTGCCCGCGTTCAACGCTTCTTCCGCTTGTCTAAGTATGAGACTCTTGTTGCTCTGCGTGGGTTTGGCTCTCATGTCCACGTCCATGGCGTCGTCTTGGCTGCTGTCGGCCGCCGGATGATGTTCGCTGACTTCGCCGGGCATCTTTTTCGTCGGAGACTTGTACGGCGCCTTGTACGTGTCCGGTTTGATCTCCTTGTACTTGGCCCACGACTTGCCCAGCTCTTGTTGTTTGGGCGCTTCCGATATCTGAGGCGGAGGCGGCGGCGAGGGCACGACCGCAGGCGCTGTCAACGTCCGCAGATCCACATCTTCAGCGCCGAACAGTCTGAAAACAAAGGAGAAGAAAAATCCCACGTCGTTAACTTGGCTTTACACACTAATAGCGAATAGATATATAATGACATTTTGTCTTAGCCTTAATGGGACTCGCGGTTGCGATTTATTAAGGGGCATTGTATAGGCAACTGTTCACTAAAACTTAACATTTATGCTAAGGTTTGTAAACATATATTAACATAGGGGAAAGAGGGGTCGTTTTTTTTCTTCTATTATTATTCAACTTCTACGTCCCCTGCAAAAAGGATCTATTTTTTTTAACAAAATAGTCAACTATTTTTTCTAATTATATTTTGTTAAAATTGTTTTTGTAAAAAAAAAAAAAGGTTAACTATTTAAAAATGATATCAGTTTAATAGAACCGATATTACAAAACCACAGAAGAAATGATAAGGAATTCAAAAATGGAAATCGCACTTGATGGGAACTCAAGACGACATCTTATAAGACGCTTAATTTTCGTTCTTAAACTATAAGTAATAGAAAATTTATTCTGAGGTCGTTAGAAAGAGATGTTCGAGAAAATACAAAATATGTAAATAAATCACTTTAAATTTTTTTTTTCGATTTTAATCTCTGAAACCTATGAACAGATTTTGTTTTTTAGCATCTTGTCAGAATCACCTTGGCACATTAGATGTGCAATGGAGAATTTAAGAACTTTATCTGATGTGATAAACAAAAAAAAAATTGTTTTAAATAATTCTCCAAAAATGAAAAATCACATAAGTCTACATGCCGACACACACTTGGCAAGCGTTTTTTTTCCATCTAAATTTATATTATCAATGCTCACTCTATCAGATGTACTGGTTTGCAAGCAACATAAGTGTAAAGTGTGGTATACAGAGTGGTCAAAAAAACATTACCATCTATTAAAAACGTTAAAAATAATTTTTGTAAATGACTTGGAAAAGAGTCTCGAAGGCCGTCCTTGTGTTATTATTAGATTAAATTTGATCAACAAATTGTACTTAATTCATACCTACTAATATTAGTTGAAAAAAATCGAGCAATTATTAATATTATTATTTTCCCAAACGTGCCAAATGGTTTCCAGTTTAATCGGCTATTAAAAAACGATTATCCTAAAAGAACATTATCCGCCAAGAAAAAAAAGAGGTTTAATTACTCGAAATTAAGTTAACATTACTCGACACTTTTATAAAAATATTAGAAAAATATTTTCTTAAGATGTTTTTTTTTGACGATTGGAGTGGTTTCTCAGAAATCTTTTAGTAGAAAAATAGTACTTTAATATTTCAGCAAGGACAACATAATGTGGTCTCAAATACAAATACCGAAATCAGTGTTATACACTCAAATTGGGTCAAACGGATAATAAGCGCCATCTTTCCAAAAAAAAAAGTCAACAGATTTGTCAAATTTTAATTTTGGCTTCTATCCGAAGTAGTGAAGGTGTTTTTTAATGTTAACACCATACAAAATGGCCGGACCTAATTGAGTTTTTTTAACGTTTTATTATTTCAATAAAATTAATTTTAGGGATTAAATTCGTTTCAAAGTAAAAATGTTGTAAAGGTGTTCAGTATTTCATGTAACACCTGAGTTTTTGACGATATACTAAAATATTGAAAAATATATTTATGTTTTCCTTTTTAAATTTTTATCAAGCAATAATAATTTAAGTTTTTTTATATTTTTTTTTTTGCAGTCAGCCAGAAGTTAGATTCTAAAGTTCAAAGTTAGATTTAAAGGAGGTGTACACTTAAATGAAACCCACCCATTGACCCTACTACAATTTTTTTAATTTTATTTGTCAAAATAAAATCATGTAATAAACATAATATGTTGCATTTCTGCTACAATGGCCAATGAAGGGGTTAAACATAAGATGAAAATAATACGCCGTTTATTCCTCAATACACACACACACACAAATCGAGTGGATACAATTTTTATTTTTATTTCATTTAAGTGTTTATACAACACTAGGAATGTCAACGACCACTTGTGTACATTGTACCGAGCTTGAAGTTTGTTGATCTCTCACAAATAAAAATCCATTCATTCCAAAGCTATCTGGCAGAGATTTTTTTTTTTTTTTTGGCAACTAGGACAAGTCCAACAAACGGTTGGCTGAATGTAGCAGCTAATTATAGCCGGTGGCGGTTTGATCATTCGGAGACCTCAACCTTGTTAAAACTAAAAGATCAAAAGTCCACGAAAACATACACTGCGCGTTTTATTAGAAAAGAAAACTATTATAGAAAAAAAAAATTACTCATCCTTGAATCGTTTCGGGGAAACATATTTTATAATTCATTTGACGCGCAATAATTTATAAATACAACCTACTTTTTTTCCTTTTTTTTTTTTAATGGACATTTTGTGATAAGAAAAATATCGTACAAAGTTTAAAATGTATTATTATCGCTATATATTAGTAAATCAACGACGGTAAAATTATTTATAAAGGGCCCCAGCTATATACTTTTATGTTGACCACGATTTATGGCCAAACTGGTGGGGGGGGGGGAGGAGGGTCGGCCATTAATTGTTAATAAAACGGTTTACAAGAAAAAAATGCGCTTTTACAATAAGAATGCACTCTCAGTCTCTATCCGAGAACTTTCCCATTACATAATCAATATTATGTAATATTATATTATATACAACTAGTCCACGACAAGAATAAAAATAACATTTTGAAATCGGTTTAAACTGTAATGGAATGAGAAGTTGTTTAAATTGATGTGTCTTTGAAAGAAATTATTTTAACCCTTTCACTACCACTGTCCATTGCAATGGACATGACTTTATTTTCTCTTTTGTGATTTACTGTGTACACAAAAAGTTCCAGATATGAACACGGAAAATTTTTTTTTCTTCAAAAAAATTAATTCGGTAATGAAAGGGTAATAAAAAACCTTTAAACATCTATTTTTGTTTCTTTTAAAGTAAATCTGTTTTTTTGTTTATATAGACTTAGAGAAAACTACTCTTATTATTTGGTCAATATTTAAAATTAAAATAAGTAAAACTCGACTTTTAAATCATATGCGGCCTGTTGTAATTTTTTTAAAAGTTGTGTTTTTGACAGATAAAAAATGTAACGATCTAATTAATTGCATTTTATAAAAGATGAAAAAAATGGGGTTTTAATACCATCACATTTAGTTCTATTGTGAAACGATCGTCGAGCAAAACTGAAAGTGATAACTTTAGTATTTGATTAAAATTTTAAACTTGATTAATATTTAATTTGAATTAATTGGCAAAAACTAATAATCAAACCTAACCTACCCTAGTTGCCTTTTCTTTTAGGGGTATATATCCCAAATATTTAATGCAGGGTTTTTTTTTGACAACCCTATTTTCAATATTACAACAGCCCTATATCTAAATGCCGAGCATGGTAAGCAAATTCGAGATTGAGTTATTGAATAATTGATTGATAAAAATTGGTTTCGACAAATCACAAAAAAATAGAGTATATATATAAAAAAAAAATACAAGACTGCTCTGTATTTAAGTTCTTTTTTTTTTTCTTTTAACTTGAATTTAAATTAATTCCACAATTATTTCAATCCATTTTTAATTATTATAGAAATAGAAATAATGAATTGAACAAATTAGTTTGGTAAACATTTATTTTAAGCAACAGAGGTTATTCGAAACGGTCTAATAAAATATCATCTTTAAATTGTAAATATTAAATTATTGGGAATAATACAAATTATTTGATGGGCTAAATAAAAAAAAGTATTTCAATTAACATTTTTTTTTTAATAGCAATTAAAACAGTATTATGCTATTAAAATCTTTAAAAATGCCTAAGTTGGTGTAAAATAATGAAAAAGAGTGTAATAATAAAACAAAAAGATGTTTTATCAGATTAAGAGGTAGAGATAAAAGTAGAAGAAATCAATCCTACATTCCCCACAAAGCGCATTTTTTTTTCCAAGTATTAGTTTTGTACTACACTTTATTTTAAAATGGCTTAAGATTATTTTTATTTAATGTTTTATTTCTGTAATTCCAATCCTTGTTTTATACTATCCAAGCGATATGTCTATTCACTGTCAATGAATTATTTTATATTTTAAAATGAACCTAACCGGAACTTTTAACGTTATATATTTGTCGTACATAACAACAGACATGTTAAACTTCTTTGAAATAGTCACTTTTTTTTTTTTTAATATTACAATTTAAAGTACTTAAACAATTATTATTTAAATACAAAGACGGTGAGTAGGGGAGGGAGACCACTAAATAATTATATTTTATTGTAAGCCGTTTACCGACGACGGTTAAAAAAACTTATAATAACATAACTTACTCATCGATGATTTCAGATTTGCTTTTCTTTGCAGCTGGTTCATTATCGTCAGCTTTGATCGCGTCCGTAGATGTCCTCTTGGTTGTCGGGGCTATAACTCTTAGGTCTATGTCATTTTGTGGTTTGATTAATACGTCTGCAAGCATACCTTTAATTTTCATAACAATACAAGACATAATACATGTAAGGCGTGCTCAAATCAATTTTCTAATACAAATGTAACAAAATAAAAACAAAAAAAAAAAGCACATAAAAACCGTAACGTGTTGACATATTTTCTTCGTTTATTTAATTTTTTGTTTTTTTTCAATTAACTCAATCCAAATGAATAAATATACATATATAATTATATATTATATACTTATTAATACACTAATTGTAATTTTGTTTCATAGCATAAACCTATGACCTCGAGTTAACTATTAACCTCGTTATAATACGTAAAATACAAAGTTTACTCGTTTAATACTCTTCATGTACACTACACAATACGGTACGTAAATACAATTTACAAAATACTCTCTAAACCTTATAAGCCCTACTTAAAAAGGTCACTCTTAGACTATTTTCTTCTGTGAAACCTTTTTGTTTGGCACACGTCATTTACGGTCGATACACACAAAATCAACAACATAATAACCTCGTTTTTACGATTCATGTTGTTCTTCTACGTCTTCTATGTGTAGACAACGTGTTTTGATTGAAATAATAAAAAATAAAAGTAAGGGAAACAAAGGGTAACCAACCGTACAAACAAACCAAATATTGGTGTCGACGGAGCACTAATTTTGAACCAAGTAGATACTTTCGGTTAAAAGATTTAAATAAAAATAAAATAAATTTAAAAAATAATAATAAAAAGATGACAGGACCAAGTGGAAAGGTGAAATTGTATTTTATTATTTTTAAAGTGGCGCAGAATAGAATCCAATTTATTTAAAAATAACAACAATTCGCCAACAATGAATATTTTGTTAAAATATAGTCGATTTGACAATGTAATCTTACTTTGATTGGACTTTACGACTGGTAAAATTTTGTCATTTGGTTCTATACAAGATGAAGACGACGCTGTTGCAGCAGTCGTAGACGGTTCCGGTGATTTCTTCATTGTCTGCATGTACATGTGAAGTCGCTTTAACGAATCTGAGTCTTCCAGCACAGTAGTATCATTTTTGGCTTGTTCAGAAACGGCAGGCGTAGACTGAATTAGCTTAACGTCTAGGTTATCATTAACTGCTTGTTCCAGAATAATTTTTTTCGGCAACACGTTTGTTACATCGACGATAGGTGTTTCGATTGCTTTAGGAACATTCCCCTTTAGGTCATCCAAAAGATTATTCGACTGAAAGTCTTTTTTGAAAGCACTCACGTCCTTTTTAGGAGAATAACTCAATTGTGGTTCGTTCAACTGGCCAATCGGAGGCACTTTCGAACTAGGGGATAAGCTCTTTTTCTTGATGTCAAAATCTTTTGTTTTCTTTTCGTCTCTTCGTTTATGGTACTTATCATCCTTAGGACTCTTTTCTTTATGCTCAGTCTTTTTATGTAACTTTTTCGACAGTTCTTTCTTGACCGGCGAACGGCTACGGCTTCTTTCCTTTTTCCTCGAATCGTGATGTTTACTGCTGTCGCGTTTAGGTTTTTCTAGTTTTTTATCATCTTTTTTCTTCGAAAACGTCAGCTTGACATTGTCTTCGATGGCCGCCACTGGTTTCGAAGTGGTGTCTGCTGCTTTTCTTAGCCGCGGATCACGATGCCGGACTGCTTGCAACAGCTGTGTACTGACTGGAGTTATTTTCGCAATACTCGGTTGAGATGCAATCGAATAGGGAGTCGGAACGTCCTACAACATTTTGCAAAAGTTGTGTTAGTCAAATGATTATAATCCAAAAAAAGAACAATAGCTTTTATCAAATTCAGTATAATAATTAATATATTAGATACGAATGAGGCAATTTAAAGTCCTTAATATTCACAAAGATAAACGAGAAAATTGTGGATAGAAATATTCAACGGATCCGACCGAGTCGAGTCTGCTTCGACATTGCTGAAATAATGAAATCAGTGTTCAATCACAATCTACACGAGCAGTTCATATCGTCAATATACCTTGACTCAAATAGTTAGTTTAATGATTGTTATTCTAACATATGATAATTTAAGAAGGACGTCAGTAGACAGTTTTACAAATATTTTAAATAGACATTATTGAGAATGTTAAAGACAATTTTCACTGAAGCAACAAACAGATGCTGTTTAGACATCATTGGGATACATCATGAACGGAGTTGGGAAAAAAACCCAATTTCTGTGGGGTGTATTTAGGCCCAAAAATGTTTAGTTATAGTACCCAAAATTAGTGGGTTGAGACCAACCCCGGGAAATTGTTTATAATAATAATAATTTGTATATAATATACAAAAAAATAAATCAGTTTTATTTACTTTTGCTGTTGTGTTTAACTTGTCGATTTTCTTTTGTTGTTTTTCCAATTCGTTCTTTGTTTGCAACAGCTCTAGTTCTAGTTTCTTTTGTTGCAGTTCCAACAGTTCTTGGTGTTTCTTGAGAAGTTCTTGGCGCAAAATCCGGTCGTCTTTAACAGCCTTCGTAGCTGCAGGTTTTTCAGTATGTTTACCCTAAGGATACCGACGAATAATTTATAAACATCCTTAATGTTACAGATTTCGTTTTATTTAATTACAACTTACAGTGTTATTTAAAAACTTTGGATTCACGTGTATGTTAGTCGGAGGGGGGCCGACTGGCCAAGCGCTGTCTATGGCGTGAACGGCCACGTCTAGCTCGTATAGATTACGATATGGCAGAACCTCATTCCAGGTAGACCGCAATTTAAACATGTTAGCTCGGGTTTTCTCGTCAACCTAAACAACATATAAAATAAAATTTAGTTTTTGAAAAACCGACCACCGACAAACTGAATATAATATTGAATCGACCATTACTTTCAAAAAAGTGGTAGCAAAGAGTCTTTCGATACTCGGTAAGAACAATCCAAGGTACGGCTGTCCGATGTTTTTGATACACGAATCGATCAAATACAATACTGGCAGCTTGCTGTCGGCCTGCACCTAAGTATAATTTTCATTATTAAATGTAATTGTGAAACAAACCTGAAATGGTTTATCCTTACGGTCCTCCAAATCTTCATTAACTTTCGGACAGTGTAGATATAAGACTAATATAATATATTTAAATAAACACAATACTCACTCGGGTTCTCAAAATATTTAGTCATTAGTGCAAAGAATACTAATTATTTATTTTCCATATCGTACTCGTTGTTAATTCCAATTTTTTTTTTTTTTTATGTTTACGTATGTAACCGTAATAGCTTAAATATTATAATAACAGTAAGGAAAACAAATTTAAATGAACAAGATTGATATTATTTAACTAAAACCCAAATTTTTTTTAAAAAAATATATATTTATAAATTATTTGAAACATTGTAAACTCGGATAAACATATTTCGTATTTTCATATTGTTCATCCCAATGTATAGTTAGAAAATAAAATAATTCCAAGTGTTTTCGATAAGAATAACAATTTGAATTTAATTTAAATAACATATCATGTACAACATAACTACAACGTTAATTCATAAACAAACATTGAATTCAATAATTTGTCACAATTTTACGTTATTTAAAAATTTCATTAAAAAAAAAAAAACTAATGTTATTTCTTAATCTTCAATCGAGATACAATACAGCCGTATTTGTTCTAAGCAATTATTATAGTTATTATTATAATTTAAAATACAAATATGTATTTTATCACTAGAAGATAATATTTATTCAATACATCTACAATAAAAATAAATACAAGGTGTCTCACGTAGGTTAAATTAGTATTTGTAATTGAATATACTTTATGGTGGCAAAATAATATAATATATTTAAAAGGTTTTCGATAATCTCGACAATAGAGTTTACGAAAATAAAACAATTTCAATTATAAGTGTTTTAATTATATATTTTTGTAATCGTCATTTGTCATATAAGCACTCTGGAAGTATAATACCTACCTTTGGCATGAATGTTTTTTTTTTTTAAGTTCAGTTTTTTCTTATACACTGGTGACCAGTCTACTATTGATTGACCTTTGGTTATATTCTTGATGCTTGTGTAAGACGTGATGTCCTAATTGATACGATGTAGATACAACCAAAAATAAAAGGATTGAAACCGCTATTTCTTGAGTTGAATTTCTAAAACCGGTTGTAAAATCAAGACCAAACTATTTGTCTTGTCAACCGAATTTAGAAACCACGCCCATACCGTTGCTTTTTTTATTATTATTATTATTAACAGGTCACGTAAACCAAAACAAACCCAATCGAAATTCAAATATATTAATAAAAAAAAATAAAACAATAAAGTAGACTATTATTTTTTTAAACATAGAGAGAAAACTTGTACTTAAAATGTTATAATAAAAAGTGTGTTATTGTATACACCACACTTGACAATTAATTTTTAAATTAAGACGCGAGACACCCTGCTAGTATTTAATCCGATGGCTCCAATAGTATTTTTCTTTTTACCGCTATGCAGTTAAGCATTCGACCATACAAATCAAGATATATATATATAATATATTATGTACGTCTACGTAGTATTAACGCATGTTAAAATACCCTAAAAAACCAACATTACGATTTATATACACCTTTTAAAAACGTCCGTACTTCAATGTTGCGTAAGTTTCGCAAATAAAATCGAATACGGGTATATTATTGTACATAACAATATCGTGTTTGAAAAGAACACACATAATAATTATTTGTGCTGCATCAATCAACAATAACAAAATACAGTTTCTTCAAATTATTTATTTTTTTTTTTTTTAACAAGTAGTGTTATTAATTTACTATCGTGAACATTCAATATACTATTATATCGATTATATACCCTTATTATTTAAACTACCAAGGATCTATAATTTCTTAATATGTCGAAAATTGTATAAATAGAAATCATAAAGAATAAGTATTACTAGTATAGTTGTTCGAAAATTTTAATGTTAACAAATTTGATTTATTAATATTATAAACCAGTAAACAGTAAAATAATTATGTTTGAAAGGAACCGCGTAGTAGTGGTTCAAATGTATAAAATAAAACTCGAATAGTAATTATTGTTGCGATTAGCGACATTTTGTTATTTACCAATAATGTAGTATATACATAAAAACATAATATTTTACACCTTAAAAACCGTTATTTTCTTTTCATTTAAAATACTAACAGATGATATTGAGAGGACCAAAAAGGACATATACCATATTTAGTCACATCATATATTTTTTTTATTTTATATTCGATTTCAATTTTCAATATTCACATATATTTGTAAATTAACTAAATATATGCCACACGACCAGAGGGATGACTTTTAGTATTTTTTACTCGAAACTCTGAACTCGCAACACAGTAGTCATTGTTGTTACAATAATAACAGTTCAACACGGCTCAACAAAATAACAAAAATGAGGTCTACAAATTAACCTTAAGTAGGATAGATACGGAGATTTCGAAAAAATTCTAAAACATACAACAAACGGAGCCATCCCTTTGGTACGAGTGTAAAAATATGTTCGTTACTATTATAAAGTTTAAAAACCTTATGAAGCTGTCTTTCAATACACTGTACAACGATTGGTGCGTAGGCGGAGTTTTCTTCTGCCAGCATTGTCAGCATGTTTATTAACGGTTTGCTATTGATGTTGAGATCTCCTAAAGCATTGGAATACTCTTCCGATACTTCTTTTTCTTTCGCCGTCATTGTATAAATTAATATATATTCTTCACCGATCGAACACAATTTTCAATTCGACCACATCAACTGAAAGAAAACGTTAAAATTAAGTCATTAGCATTTATTTTTTTTTTTTAATTAAAATTGTATTAAATGTGTACTTTTTTTTAATAATATTTCTTTCTCGATTAGAATCAATAACTGTGCAAAAAACAAACTTTGCCATGTTATCATAAAATATCGTAATCGAATGGTAAACATTAAACAAAAATTACATAATTAACTCTGTAAAAATGCAGTTAGAAACAACAAATGAAAATAACTACAGTAAAATAATATAACTGTTTGTAACAAAATGTACATATTTTAATAGTAAATAAAACAATTTATTGGCCAGCCAATAAAAATCATAACCATGAAATATAAAAAATAACCAAATGTCTTCAATGTTTTTTTTAAAAGAATTCAAATTATAATATATATTATATATTTTTTAAGGATACTATAATATTTACCAGTATCTTTTCTTTAATATGTTTTATATATTTTTTTAAATTTAAAGAAAATATTCCACACATAATTAGACTCCGCCAAACAACAGCTGCTATGAGTTTTGAGCCATTTGAGCTTACAAATAAGCCAAATTTTATCATTTTTATTTAACCCAGTCCGACTTTGCACACATTTAATACCAATAAAATTACATGTAGACATTTATAAAAAAAAAAAATAACGGCGCAACTTAAATAGATTAAATTAGTAATATACGATAAATGTATTTTTTAAATTATAACCATTAGCTGATAAATATGTATCATGTTATTAAAAAAGGCTATTCATCTGGTTAAAAAATAATACTCATACTTATCTTTCATGTTTAAAAGCAATTCAAAATAGTTATGTAATTTCATCATAAGATAAAAACGTATTATTAGTTCTCAGTTTCATAGAGGTTAAACCCAACTGCTATAGCTAACAGCATTATTAAATTTGTTTGGTTCTCGTAATATTGTTATTGTTACTTATGAATTAAAAATTGTAATTATCAATATTGATTATATAAAATAATAGTACGGCCAAAGAAATTAGAGCTACAATTGTCACATGACAAACAAGGAATTTTCTTTACTAAAAAAAACTTAATTTGTGCCATATTTAACCAATTAAAGTTACTTTGCAAATATCATTTAATAAAACTTTTATCACCACGTATTAATGTACATATTACCATTCTGAACATTTTTTAAGGAAAATATCACCAGTGGCATGATGATCATGGCTCTAATTTTGTTAGCAAACACAATATTTGAAATGCTATGTTAATTTGTATAATGCACACATGTGATCAAGTTTCTCAAGGTATGAATTGTTTAAAATTTAGTAAAAATGTTCTTTTTAACAAGTAGGTATATATTACCATTAAGTTATCTGCGAATTAATTTAGAAATATTGTAAAACTGTATTTATAACAATGTTTTTGCTAATACATATTATTATTATTTTTTTTTTTAAGTGGGCAGTTTTTAAATAGGATACAATAGAAACCTAAGTGTATTACCTTTAAACAAACTCGTACAAAAAAAAAATATGAGTACCTACTCATAGCGATATATAATGCCAACTTCAAAACAAAACTACATTTGTTGTATGCTTAATAATTATTTCATACAGTTTAATGAAAAAAAATATATTTACTTCTTTACATTTTTTTTTTTAAGAAATAAATTTTTAACAAATCACGAAACAATATAATATAAAATATATCATTTATCATAAAATAGTAGCATAATATATGAACTGTGTGTATAATTAATATTTTTAAAAAAATAAACAATATTATTTAAATTTTCTAAACAACCTATGTGTGACGCAACTGATAAAACGGAAAATATTATTATGAAAATACAAAAAGAGAATTTAAACAATCGTTCACAAATTTTAAACAAAATTGTTATAAAAATTATTTTTAACACGATTTTCATACCTGGATGTAATGGTAGATATTCTATTAGTTTTTTTTTGGTTGTTGCACATATGGTGCAATAATTATTGTTAAATTTGTTTTTAATTGTATGTTATAACAGAAAAAAAACAAAAAGTCTGACGATTATTATATAATATAGATAGGTAATACCTAGATAATATGTAAAATAGGCATATGCTAGCAGCAAACATAAGGTGATTTTTATTTAATATATGAATAGACGTTTTTAATTTACGTCACACAAATGTTAAATGTTGTGGTAGGTGGTAATATTAATGTAGAACTGCAATTATTATTGTTTGGTTGTCATCGTCGACACATAAATCACTTTGGCAAACAGCAGACTTTAACTACTGTCTGAATTGCACACACAACAAACATATGTTGTGTGTAAATAATAGTTTTAAATCGATAATTTCGTCGCCATCGTCGTTCCAAGTTCACAATGGGTACGAATTAAAAAAAACAAACAGAATATTTTAAAAGTCGGGGGGGCTTAAGTATATATTTACATTAAAAATATGGTAGCCGAGACTGTCGTTTTTGACATAAATAAATTCGCCGTCGTCATGGCCGCCGCCGTCGCGTTTGTGAGCAATTAGATAATTTAATAATATTTTATATACGCACAAAAGCCGGAACGTTATTATTAGTATTATTATAGGGAACGCGCGATGGAAATATAATATAATTATACTCACTAATTTTTATTTTTTTTTAAATATAAATTGAACGGGAGAAAAAAAAATTTACAAAATTCACGGCTATCGGCCCAATAGCTACTACGAACCTTATGACGCGACAAAACGCGTTGTACAAACGTTAATATAAATAATAATCGACTTACCCAAAATGTGTGTCGTCGAGAACGGCGTCGGCTGGCGACGGCGGTCTTGCGGTTTCCGGCCGATTATAAAAATGTATATATATATAAATATATATAGGTAGGTAGGTAGGTAGATAGGTAAAATATTATTATTTTAAATTAAATATTTTCACATTGCAAACTTTGTACTCGAAATATTATTATTACACATTATATAGAAACAAATAACAAGCGGTGAAAAAAGAAAAAAGAAATTACACGTACCGACTCGTTTTGAAAAGATATTACAATATTTAATAATAAACACGATTTTTTTAGTTGATACAAGTTACAACTATATAAAAAATAAATCTAAATGGACAATTTACAACGGCGTGGCGGATACGGGGGCCGACCCAATTGAATTGGCCAGTCGGACGTCGGTTATGCTTTGCAGTGCCGTGTGCTGCTCTGAGAGCCGTATGCCGTTTGTTCAATATGGCGGACGTGACAATCGGAGCGACGCACACGGGTTGTGGTTTGTCGGAGGCAGCTCGCCCGACGCCCGTCCGTCCTCGCCACCATACGCGTGCACGCAGTGCAGCCAACGTGCGTTCGGTTATACTAGTATTTTCCTGTCCGGCCAACCTGGCACGGCCCGCGTACGATAGTTTTGGTAAACACCCGTTCGTTATCAGTTGTAAAACATAAACACACCATTAATAATAACAGTGTTATCTACACGTAGTATCTGACTGCAGCAGCACCTGTCCTGCAAATGAGTAATAAATTGAAGTACTGATTACACGGCGTAGCTGTACTTATAATGATTATTATACCTATACAATGCAATAGGTATTACATGAGTACATTATTTACCCGTTAATTCCATTGTTGTTTCATCGAGACTCGTCATATTATGTTAATTAGGGATTTCGTAGTTTCCACCGCTACTACTTAAAAGTAATACATATTATAATAATCGCAGGCCACCGCTAACGTCGTTGGTCTAATACCTATTAATATTACATTAGGTAATGTAATTTGAAATTTACCAACGATTTTCATTCGGTAAACGGTTATTATCGAAAACTCGAGTTACGCGTTAATGTGAAATATTTTAATTGTATTCCGATTGCGCAGTGTTTTATCACCGAGAAATGGAAGATTATAAGTTTTTATTCAAAGTGGTTCTCGTGGGCAATGCAGGTGTTGGAAAAACATGTTTGGTTCGTCGATTCACTCAGGTGTTTACTTATTCACAATTATTAGTAACAAAAATAATATATACATAGTTTTTGAAAAAAAAACAAATAAAAAAATTGCAACAGTTTATTCCCATTAATGGGTTTATTGTTGTTGAAGTAAGAAATTGTATTTCTTTTGTTTGTAACTGCAACTTTCACCTATTTTGATCACATACATAACGATGTAAATTTTTTTGTATTCATGCAGGGAATGTTTCCTCCGGGCCAAGGTGCTACCATCGGTGTAGATTTTATGATTAAAACCATTGAAATTGACAATGAAAAAGTCAAAGTAAGTGTGTTATTAAATAATAAAAGTCTTATTAGTGGGGTATCCTCGACAATGAAAATAAACTAATAAATTAATAAAAGCTATTGTTATATAATGAATGTAGTATAGACTATAGTATATATTCATTAAATTGTACTATGTCTTTAAATTATTTTCACAGTTCTACACATAATATACTGTTTTTAATACTATCCAATAATTTTTCAGCTTCAAATTTGGGATACTGCAGGCCAAGAAAGATTCCGTTCTATAACTCAAAGTTATTATAGATCAGCGCATGCATTAATACTGATATACGATATAACATCACAACCGACGTTTGATTGTCTCAACGATTGGCTTAGAGAAATCGACGAATATGCTAACAATAGAGTTTTAAGAGTTTTAGTTGGTAAAAAAAAATAGTAATAAATTCAAAAAATTTATTTTTAGTAGACTGAGCTATCCTATTGTTGCAAATTGTTAGCGGCTTGTGTGTATTTAAAACGAGTAAATGTAACAAAGACATGTACCCTCAAACCTAAAAACATTTCCTTTGAATACACATCGGCCGTTCCCACTTTTAATATTTGGGTGGCTTATGTTAAATCAATAATATTTAAAATAATTTATATTATTATTTTTTTTTTTTTTTAATTGGTTTTTTATGTTTATTTAAGGTAATAAAATAGACAAAGAAGACCGTGAAATACCATCTCACGTTGGTCAAGATTTTGCTCAGCGTCACGATATGCGTTATTTAGAAACATCGGCCAAGCAAGCTGATAATGTTGAAAAACTATTTGTCCAAATTGCTTCAGAATTAATGGAGGTAAAATTCTTTAATAATAGACACATAACAATAGTAGATATATATATATTTATCATAAGGTTTTACGACCATAGTCTGTAATTAGCATTCTTTTATAATTGACGTTGACGAGAACTGATTTAATTGAACAAATTGACTAAGTAAAAATACACAAGTATTTCTTTATGCAACTTAGTACTATCAAATTTTTTGACAATGAAAAAACTAGTATTAAAAAAAATTATATACATATTAATTTTACAAGATATGTTTACCATTAACTGATATTATACCTCATATATCATGTAGGTTAAATATTTTGTTCATTTTTTTTCTAATAACTCAAATAACTTTAACAAAAAATTGTTGTACAAATATTTTAATTTAAAACTTTTCAATTTTATTCCTTATTGTCGCGAAATATTCCCACGATAAGAAAGAAGATAATTGTTATCTATAATTGGGTTTTTAAATTTTGTAAAGGAAATTTAATTTCTATTCATTTACTTTAAATAATCGAAAACTTATCTTTGACATTTTTTTCTACTAAATTAAGATTTAAAAAAAAACCAAACCCAAAAATATAAATAAAACCACCTAAATAATAGAGAATAATATTATACTGTTTACCCAACTAGGTTTGTATTAATATTTTGAACCACCTCTAGATCAAATAATATGTATGATTAGGTGTGACTACCGAGCATATATTTGGAGGAATGGGGCGGCCTAGATTAAAAAAAAGGTTAATTTTTTTAACTATTTAAAAAAAATCAATCACCAACTTATAATTTTAAATGCAATTAAAATGAAAAGGCATACGTATATCTGGCGCAATGCACCTCAAGCCAGAAAATGCTTTTTCCATTGACACTTGAAAAATTGATAACAGAAATAATATTATACTTACTTTATAATACCCTTTCCTATGTATTATATAAACAATAAAGAGAATATAAACGTTGAAGTGACGCTCTCAAGAAAGCACAAGACTTAGGAGAGCGCAACGTCACTCGATGTTTGACTCATATCTGTTTTAGTCACATATGTTTTTCTGGGATACCGACTAATTATTCATTATAATATATATTAAATAATTTTATTTCAGCAAGCTAAATCCAAAGGAATGCCGACCGAGAATCCACAGTCGTTGCCATTCAACACGAGGACAACTAGATCAATCAATGACTTTTGTTGTAACCGTTGAAAGTATTAATTCGTCAGTATTATTTTTTAACTTATATAAATGTATCATTGTTGTAACGCTAATTACAGGGTAACTTGTAATTTTACTGATCCCTCTGAGAAACTATTCGATAACCAATTGTTTTTATTAGTTACCTGGCAGTTGAGCTCGATGAGCTAGTTTGGTACTGGTTAATACTGTAAATCAATACCGAATTGGCCATCATAGTTTTGACTTACTATTTCCAAAATATTATTATTATTTTTAGTCAACGTGGTTGTACTTAATTTATGCATAATATTATTAGGTATTATTATAACAAAGCAGTATGCTCAATCCTAGTTTGTTCGCTGTGCGTTTGATTCGATTAATTGTTAGTTACTAAGTAATCAGCAAAAACATAATATTACGATTATTATTATTATTATAAAATTAACTTCCTTTTTTTATTGAGCTTGTTATGAAATACGTCGTTTTATTCTTTAATATTCGAAACTAATAAATTTGTATTTGACTCAGTATTATGTTTACCTTCAATTGTGTGTCTAAGGCAATTTTATTTTTACGCTTATTTTTTAAATGTAATAAATAGAACAATTTTAGCATAGATCAAACATAGTAATTATTTTATTTAATAAATGTAGAAAAGTGTATGGTTTAGGTTTGTTATGCCTTTTATGAAGAGATAACGTATTTGACGTTTTAATAGCTCTTTAATTAAAAATGTATTTTTACGTACATTACATGTTTCAAAAACAATATTTAGTTAAACGTGTTTACTTACCTTAGAACAAAAATATTATACATATATATATATAACATAATATTATTGGTTATGTTTTTTTTTTTTAATATAAATCAGTGCAATACCTTGTAAACTACTAGTGGCTGTATTAATTAACGTTATAAATACTAATAATAGTATATTTATATATTGACTATTACATAAAATATGTTTTTACACAAATTGTTTGATCATTTCTTTTTATATTATTTTTTATATAATAATATTATTATCTTAACATTTATGTTCTTGCCTCGTTATAAACTTTACGTCATCAGTGTTGTGTTAATTTTTTTACTTTATTTACATTTTATAAATGACATTTCAATTGTTTTATTACTTTGACATTTGACACACTAACCACTTTTTTTTTAACTACTCAACTATAACCATTAAAAAAAAAACCTCTCATCAAAATTAACTTATATATTCTATAAACACTTTTTTTTTTATAAGGCCAATGTTAAATGTATTTATTGTTAAATTAATGAACATTTTGAAAAGTATATATTTCATGTCAATAAACAAATGAGAACAATCACATCAATATATAAATATTTATATATCTAATTCATTTTTTTTTTTTTTTTTGTTGGTGTATGTAAATAAATTATTTATGTGTAAATCCTTAGTTTTTCTTTATTTATTGTGCAATAACAAAATAATACAAATATAATTCAATTTTGTGTTTATCAAAAAATGGTTACTTATATTATTAATTTGGCTATTATATACTGTTGTATTACTTATTACTAACTTGAATTCAGAATGATTTTTTTTATAAAAGTAATGAAATGGCTGGTTGAAAAAAAACAACATTCACTATAACGTGATACATATGATGTTACGCTAAAATGTTATAATACATTAAAAAACATTAAAATTGGCTCAATCATACTCCTTCGGTCTATCAAATTTTTTACTTGTAACTGTTATGAAATCCTTTATCGTTGTATACTTTGGTTTTGTTTTTTCACATAATTTTTTTTTTTTATGAAATTGTCAGTTTTTTGGCTGCAATAGACTTTTTTAGTATTTAGACAAAAATTTGTTCCAAAAAAAACACTAAAATGTAAATAAAACACATTTATTATGTTATGGGTATTTTTTTTACTATTATTTTTTTGTACTGGTATAATATGTATTGATTTTCAGTACCATGTTTATTTTTTAGTTATACTTTATCTGCATAGAGGTCTTAAATCGTAACTGAAACTGACTATCCTCAACTTGCCACTGTATCTTTAAAGGTACATACTATTTATATATAATTTTCCATGACCAAACTAATGAAGAGTAATTTATATTTAAAAATTAGACTTTGTCAAGGGCTTATTGGGCAAAAATTTGAAAAAGGTTTACCCTAGAAAGGCAAGAAAAACACTCAATAAATTTGCATATTTTTCAACTAATAAAATTACACGCGCTATAAATCTTTTTAAAATAGTCGAATTTATTTCAAATTGTAGTATTATGTTTATAATATTCTTTGAACATAGTACTACTGATGAACGTTGACAAATCAAAATAGTATTAAAAACCCTTTCCCTCCAGAATGAGTAGGAACTTCTTTGCCTACTTTTTTAGCTATAATTTAAGCCGCTTAAGATCTGAAAATAAAACTGAAGGCAGACCTAGAGTGAGGCTATAACAGTTTATTAGAAAAAAACCTGTAGTCAAATTTTTTTTTTACTAAGGAATACCTCCTCTCTTTCCCCAAAAAGGGGAAAATTTAACTTTGACAGAAGTAAATTTCCAAGTTGTAATGTGTGAGTGAATCAATAGCCAACAAGTATCAGACAAATCTGTTCATCATGTCATGTAGTGTTTTTTTTTAAGGTTAAACTGAAATAGTTTTGGGAAGTCTTAAAGTATCCAAGCTTTCCTCCTATCTACTGCACTGGTCAGCATTGCTGTAGAAACAGCCTCACTATTTAGAAATTACAGGTTAAAAAAAAATCTCTCATTATAGGTACTGCTGTACTATTTAAATCAAAATATACAAATCAATAAATTTTACGATTATACTAAATATATTTCAGTATTAAACGTATAAATTCAGAATAAAATGTAACGGTTAGATTTACACTACACGTATATAATTCGTTTATATTGGTGTATTTTCCGTGTATAAACCATTCGTCGAAGTTCAGTATATTTTCCGTTTAAAAATGAACCAATATATTTGGTGTAAATTAAGTATAATTTCATATAAATGAACACAGAAATGTTATTAATATTATTGGACAAACTGGTATTATTTTTAAAAATAAATGTAGTTTTTACACAGAAAACGTAACCAGGTTTATAATTATCAAATTTGACAAAAAGTCATATTTGAAAAATCGGTGACTTATGTCGTTTTTGAAATGACCGATTCAGTTACACATTACAACTTTTTGCTTTTAATTAAGATTTTAAAAAAAAATTGCCTTCAACCAACCGCTCCTTAATAAATAGGGGCATGACGTCCCCTTGATTAAAAAGTAATAAACCATGATATTATCAACTATGAAGTAATATGCGTCGTAATATACCAGCTATAATATTTCTTTGGACGTTAATATTTTGAAATTAGGCGGGAATAATCATATGCAAACGCTTTGGAAACGTTCCTAACGTCATGGTCGACAATCTATCCGTGCTATAATCTCGGTACGGAAATTCGGATCATACTTCAGTCACGAATAATTCTCCGAGAGGGAAGTTCGTTCCTCTATATATATATCATCTTCTTCCTATCCTTCACGCTTTCATTATTTTTTTGTAAATTTTGTTGTTCGTTTTATTTTAAATTATTCTATTTACTGTAAATAAACACTTTTTTTCCTATTTTTCGATCGTGCAACAACTTAAGTTACCAAAGAACCAGCGCTAACATGTACGCTGTAAAAACGCCCAGTAAATACATGACAGCAAAGACCAGAAGAGGTGAGCTATACTTAAATATTATTCGTTACTATAGTATTGTAATACAGTTTTTCGATTTTAATTACATTTCTTTTTTTTTCTCTTGTTTGGTTCGCAGGCGTTCGACACAGTTTCGACCGACTCGATTCGTTTCGTGACAACTTGAAGAAAGTCAACGGAGCGGAAGACGAAGAACTATCATCGTAATTTGGATTTTTTCACCTACGTCTCTGCCGCTTAATAACGTACGGATTAACTTTTTGTTTTCTAGGCCCGAACCAAAACCAGTTTTTCATTCCAACGGTCATAGGAAATCACATCACAGGTGTCACCCCTCACCGCCCGACGCAATAAGTCCACAGCACGAGAAACTCATACATTACATCAATGAGTGTAAGATTTTATTTATTTTTATGCTTCTACTCATGATGTTGACCCGTTTGACTGGTAAAAAATAGCCTAATGCTTAATACATTTATTTTTAATATCGTACAGTCAACCGATCGATATTGAGGGAAAAAAATCAACGTGTAAAATAAAAATAGATCAGTGGGGAAGTACGAAAAATTGTTGACAAATTTTATTTTTAATATAGTCTTTTACAAAAGTTGAATGGAAACTGCTTAAAATGAAATTTTAGTGTCGCAATATTTCGTCTAAGCTTAGGTTTCACGCTACACTTAAAGTTTATATAGAAACTACCTAAATGGTGTTTAACAGACAAAAATGGGTAGACATCAGCCATGAGGTTTTACCACTAGAATTATGTAATATTTCAAAATGACTTGTTGAAAAGTTAACTACCTCAATATTATAAAAGTTGTTAAGTACCACTTAAGCTAATAATAAAATGGCAATTTGTTAAATGTCACAGTAGTTTTCTTTACGATATTATATTGAATTATGTTGAAAAACGAGTATTCAAAGTTGTCGTTAATTAGTATGATATCTCAATGTTGTTTGTCTTTTGCAGTGTTTACAAGTATTATTAAGTCAAGTATTATTCATTATTATTGTTAGGGAGCTATTCATTAATTCTGATAATTGATAAACTGTTATATTGTAATAACTAAAATATAATTACAAAAAATACTGTTAATAATATCGGTTGTAAGCAAAAATCAAATAGCAACTTGTAAAACTGGTTTGTATTATAATAACCAATAAATGTCATTTTATTGGAACTTTCAACATATACTTTATTATAATCTGCCGATTAACACTTTTATGGATTTTCCTTGTCGTTTATAATGAGATGTATTTTATAATAATTCTTTGGCCAGAAATGTAATGTCGCACAAATATTGTGGAATACATTTCATTATTATTATAAAAGTTTTCAATGTTTTGTATGTGATTTTAGCAAGTTTATGACCAAAAGAATAACAGTAATATATATTTATTACATTATTATTATTATTAAAAAATTATTTTGCCAATAATTGGGATTAGTATTACTTAATAACTCTCTTAAAGAGCACGATAATTATATACTAATTGCCAACGATCACACGATTCAGGAGGATATTAATGCATTCATTAATTAGTCATTAAATGTAAATAGGCTGATAATATTATACTATTTATTCATTCAGCACTTATGCAATAAAAAACTCAATATAAAAAAATTTATATTGTAATAAAACTTTCTTGCTCATCAAAGAAATTAGTTCCTCACTAACTAATAATACTAAAAACCTTGAAATTTAATCAATCAATTTAATGTTAATATTACTTAATTACCTATAGTAATAAAAATATTAACAGTAGGTAATTATTGTTGAATTGTTAAATAATTATGTGGTGAGCTTCTTCAGTCTAAGAAAAATGTACATTTGTTTTACTTGGCCAAACAAAAGCGAAAATTTTATACAACAATTCATTATTTTGAGAAGTTTTAATGTTAATAAATAATAATTGATAGTAGAGAAATGAATATTTAAACCCTTAACCATAAAAATAATACACTAGCCTGAAGATGACAACATTATTTTGCAAAATGCATATTTTATTTTTCCTCAGTACTGTATAAATAAAAAAAATATATATATATATATATTATTACACTTTATGCAACTTCCCCATTTTGAGGGGCACAAAATACGTGATGTTTTTGACAAAGTACAAACATAATTTTAGCCTTATTTATTATTTAATAGTTTGTTAAAAATATTGTATTAATTTGTTTGTATTTTTATGTTTTAGCTTGGCACTCGGTCATAGATAAGGAAGAATCATCAGAAAGTAAATATTTTATTTTTTTTGTACTTAATACGGCTGACATGTTTTTCCAAATATTGTAATTTATCATTTTTTTTTTAATTTAGGTTCTCAGAAAATTGTTTATTTTAAACCTGAAAATAACACGGACTTGCTAAATGGTAACTAAACGATTCGTTAATTATAAATAACAATCGCGTTAACTCGGGTCTTTTTGTTTTTGTTTAAGATTTTCAAGCCTTCGACTTAGACACGTACTGGATCAAGCGGTTGTACAACGATATCACAAAGTCGGTGCCGTGAAACCGTTTTTATAGTCCTACGCATAGGTATTAGAAAGAAAAAAAAATGTTATCAGACTCGCCTGTAGCTTACAAAGTCGTCGCGAAGACATGATGGACACGTGCATGCATACTTAGTCAAATTTGTGTCACAATAGAACATCCGTTGTCTTTAAGACACCTTGAAAGGGATGGGAGGGAAAATGGCAATAGTAGTTTTTTAAATACGTAGTTAGTCTAGTTAAAGTCAAGTATGTCGACGCTGTTATTATGAAATTATTGTGCAAGTATCGTTTAGTTAATCGATGTTTCCTTTTAATTTACTGTTTTATTATTATTTTTTCGTTATTATATTATACAAATTTATGTTGTGAGTTATCTGAACAAGACTGAAATTTGTATAAAAAAAAAAATTGATCGTGTACAATTTTTTGTTTTGCTTTCGTTGAACCCGATTTTATTTTAAAACTCTGGTAGCTCTTAACGGCATAAGAATCGAAACCTGTTGAAATCATAAGAATTGTTCGAACAATTCTTATGCCGATATTTTTTTTAAATTATTATTATTGAACGTTTTTGATTATATAAGTACATTTTTTATATATCTATACATCATCGAGACAATATTGTAGATGTAAAACTTCTTTCTGTTAGATTGCAAAAGTGAAGGAATAAATTTTGTTCAAATGGCATTTGTTTGCTTTTTCGTTAGAAAATTATTTGTTGTCTTACTAATTATAATTAATAGAAGTTAAAAAAAAAATGTAAAACGTGCTGCCATATTTTTTTATACACGAGACAATATTTATTGCACTCGTTAACATTATTTATGTAGACTGAATGTATTTGCATATTATTAATTAATAGTCGTTATCTGTTATAGTAGTTAAAAAAAAAAAAAAAAAAAACACTGAAGAAATACTGTTTATTACTTGGAGTCTAACTTTACGTTATGCCATCATTGCAGATTAGAAGATATTATTTTCTTTTACAAAATTAATAACTTATGGCTATAAATGAACAGTATTGCACTGAAAAAAAAATGACCCACTAATGAGACATTAAAAGAAGAAATATAATGTACAAATTATAACAAAAGCCAAAAACTTATTGTTAATAATTGATTATTAAAGAATAATAATTAATGTTGTTTCAAAAAGGATGACTAAGCACATACAATTGATTATAGGATTGCAATTAGTTACTATTTACAACATTGAGTTTTTTTATCTAGAAATGAAGTGAATAAAATAAAAGTGAAATAATCATCTGTTTTATTGTTAAATTATTTTATTTGTTAATTACGAATACATTTTTTTTATTGGTGCAAATGTCTAATTAATTTAAATGACTTTTCAATAATGTCTTTCTTTTTTGAAATATTACCCAGAGTTTGTGTAAATTCAAAAGCTGGGTCGATACCAAAAACTAGATCATTCAACTTTTTATAAATGAAAAAAAAAATGTATTTTAAATTAACCAAGGTAATGTTTTTTTTTAAATATATATTATTTATCTAGTTACATGCAAAACAACACTATTTTATTAATCGTAAAAATAAAATATAATTAAATTTATATTTGACATAACACTGTGTATGGTAATGAAGAGTAAAACCAATTTACGTCGAGGTTATAATTCATTCTCATCTTGTCAAAACCACAAATTTGTAAAATAATAATTTATTTTTCGTAAAACCATTTTGATCAATTGTATAAGGGATTTTATGTAAATTCAGTAAAACAGCGACAAATAAAAATAAACGTATATTTTTTACAATTCTATAAACTAACAAAGTTTAATTTTAGTCATTAACAACTATAACGTCTTATCAGTATAATTCATTTCACTTTAATTTTAGTCTTAACGTATAAAATTAAAAAAAATTCAATTAATACATTAAAAATTAATTTTCGACGTCTCTATACCAGTTACAAAAATTCAAATTATTTGTATTAGTATTTTTTTTTATACTACAATTCAACTACAAAAAAATATATATAATATAATGTAGACATCATATATATTCCAAAAGAAGCACATTTTTCTATGTTTAAATAATAATAAAAAAAAAAAAATAATGCGTAATGTTCATCACCAAGTAGTTGAATAAATAATATTTTGAATTATTATTGAATAATACTTAATAATGTATGGCTAACAACCTTGTAAGTTGATTCCCTTAATACATTTTTTTTTTCTATGTAACCCTTACATTTTAAGGTATTTAAAAGATTAATTTGTAGATAATATTAAACACGGTTGTTATACTAGTTTATCTGAAATTTTAAGTTCGGTGGATTTAAAAATTTCACAATTTTCCAATACCCACGGATGTTCCATAACCTCTTTCAGAGGTAATCTGTTTTTGGGAATTTTGACTAGCAGTTTTGAAATCAGACTCCTGGAACTTTCGCTCATGTGAGGTTTGAAACCATACATGACGGCGCAGATTTTTTTAAAAGTCGCAGCTTGTTCGGTACTCTCGAACGGCGGCGATCCGCACAAAAATTCGTAACACAAAACTCCCAGACACCAATTGTCCACATACTCGTTGTACGTTTGAGAATTGACCATTTCCGGCGGCAAATAGTCGATGGTGCCGCACATGGTGCTCCGGCATTTGGATGGCGCGTGCACGGACCATCCGAAATCGGCCAGTTTCACCACGTGATGGCTGAACAACAACAGGTTCTCGGGTTTTATATCGCGGTGAATGACACTCTGCATGTGACAATACTGTAGCGCGTCAGCTACTTGACGCAAATAGTACGCGGCTTTCGGTTCGGTAAAACGCTTTTGCGGCTGTGCATTCAATACCTTGAACAGTTCGCCTTCCTGAGCAAACTCCAATATTAAATAGATTTTTTTCTCATCCCAAAAGTACGTAAGCATTTTTAGAATGTTCGGGTGGCTCAAATGCGTTTGTATTTCTATCTCGCGTCGCACTTGGTGTTCCATTTTATCCTTTACTAGTTCCGATTTAAACATCATTTTCAAAGCGACCATGTATTTGGTATTTTTTTCACGTGCCAGATAAACACGACCAAATTTGCCGCGACTCAACGGTGTTCCTACCTCAAAATCGCTTAACGACCATTGAAAATTTGCAGGCCGTTTAGCGCTAAGGTCTATCATTTTCTTTTCGATTTCTTTCACCGCACATTTGATACGATCCGGGATGTTGATGTTTACTATTGCCGTCATTGTTTGGTCGTCAGACTGAAATCATAGAATAATTTTCACTGTAATATTTCTTTTTTACAATATGAATAATACAACATGAGTTATATATTGATAAGGCCAAAAGTAGGACAAGTTTTAGTAAAACAGTCAAATGAGCTACAAATTTGTATGGTATACTGTTTAGGTAGATAATATTGTACAACTATTATTTATTGAATAGTATATACCCAAGAAAATACCACTAACTCTTTCCCTTAGATGAGGTTGAATTTTTATCTTTATTTCATCTTTTTAGCCGTAGTTTTTTAACTCAGGGTCTGAAAATTAGACTGAGGGTGGATCTAATGTGATTCTATAAAATAGAAATTTCTTTTTCAAAAACCTATAGTCAAGATATTATTATAAATGAAAAACAATTACACAATCATTTTTATAAAAAAATTCAATTGTTACCTGTTGATGTTTACTTATTACAATTTTCATTGATGTTTATTTTTTTTTTTTCATTTACACAGGGTGATTAATTTAACGTAAAAAACATTATTTTTTTAGAAATAATAGTAATTATGTATATTGTCACTGTAGTATACAATTGCCAATCGACCAGTCAACATTCTCTGTAGATTAATCTTTTTAAAAAGTTAATAGCATACATATTATCGTTATTTTAAAAAAGTCTTAGGATTTGGGGTCAGAAAAACCTATGAAATATAAAAAAATCTGTAGTCACACTTTTTTAATTGTGAGAAACCCCCCAATAAAACCAATAGAACTCATTGTCTACAAGATGATTAATGATCATAACCGTTTTTGTCGTCTACAGTTTCACAATGAAGCGTTTATTCGAAAATTACAAACCTTTCCAATATTTACATGCTCCGTCCCCGCTACTAATGCCTGATCTAATTGTACGGTTTTTTTTTTGGTAAGTATATTGATACTATAATGTTATTACTATAGTTATGCCAATCTCGATTGTAATATCGCTGGTTGGTAGTAAGTATATTTAGGAGCTCTAATTATTATTTTAGATATCAGCAAACCCACTACACACAAAATATATCCGGCTGACGGAATTTTCAAAAACATACCTTATGTCGGTCGGCAGGTGACGAAGGCGAATACTTGCTCGGAATGGTAAAAAATAACCGAAAATCGAGACAATAATTTAACAAAAACGGTTAAATTAAGACGTAATCGACGTAAGACACGGTGATTGTAAATTGTACCTTAGAATAAATAATAATATTAAGGTAATAATATATTAGTTGTTCATCATCAGTTCGTTCGTTATAAAAATGAAAAAAATCCAAAAGACGTTCGGCAATCTGCGTTCGAATTTCAGAGAGATTCACTGCGGCCGGAGGTGGCGACCAATGGCAGGCCGGCGTTCGAAATACCGGCCGCTCATTGGTCGGATGCTCTATGTGCATCGCCGCCCGGCTTATCACTTGGCGAGTCAAAAATCGGTTTTCCTTATCAAAAAACCCAAGGTTGTCGCGATAATTATTTATTTTTTGCCGTGACTCGTACCTACCTGCCGCCGACAACAGCAGGGTATAATATTATGGTATTTGTTTCGACTAGTTATTCTGCGTATTAATCATCCGTATTGTGGACGTTTTGTCTTATGGTCCCGTCACAATGTACGACTAATTAATTATTATTAACCATGTGAAACCGTCAAGCGTGTGGTAATCCGTCGTTTCACGAATTCACAAACATACGGTTTTTGGTTTGTGACCGCCCAGTGTGGTATTACATTAACATCAATAAATTCAAAGTAATAGTGAATATTAATTTGTTAAAAACAAAAGTGATCAAAATGAAACAATTATTTCTCGTACTACTCATACTGTGCTGTTGGAGCAACAGCCATGGAGATGACCAGCAACCTGCTGTGAAGGAAGTAGTAGAAATTAAGAAGATAAATATAACCGATGGTGGAAACGGTTTTCCGTTAGAGCAGTCGGCAAACGATTCGACCACGAACGTAGAAAAAAAGGCTAATTCGACTACGGACGCTACGACGGCGGCATCTAATGAAACTGTAGTTGCTAATTCCACAGAAAAATTGCCGCCGGTCACGCCCGGCGAACCCGTATTGCCGAAAAAAGGATCAGCTGAAGAAGAACGCAACAGCTCGATCGCTATATTTTTTGTGCTCAGCGTGCTCGCTTTGGGTATACTACTCATCCATTTGATGCTTTCTACACATTTCCAATATTTACCGGAAAGTGTTGTCATAGTGTTCCTCGGTGCTATCATCGGTCTCATCATTAACCTTATGTCTGAACAACACATTGCCAACTGGCGAAATGAAGAGGCCTTTTCTCCGACAGCTTTTTTCCTCGTCCTATTGCCTCCGATCATTTTCGAATCGGGCTACAACTTGCACAAAGGAAATTTCTTTCAAAACATTGGATCGATCTTGGTATTTGCCATAATTGGTACCACAATATCAGCTTTGGTAATTGGTGCCGGTATTTACGTTCTCGGTTTGGCTGACGTTGCGTACAAATTAAGTTTTGTCGAGAGCTTTGCTTTTGGCTCTTTGATATCTGCTGTAGATCCAGTTGCGACTGTAGCCATTTTTCACGCATTGGACGTAGATCCCGTTTTGAACATGTTGGTTTTCGGCGAGAGTATACTGAACGATGCCATCGCTATTGTGTTGACCACGTCGGTGTTACAATCGAATGGGCCGACCATGAGCACTTCCGAAGCCGTGTTGACCGGTATCAAGCAGTTTTGTTTGATGTTCTTCGCTTCAGCCGGCATTGGAGTCGTGTTTGCGTTGATCAGTGCTCTGTTACTGAAGTATGTAGATTTACGAAAGACGCCTTCGTTGGAATTCGCCATGATGTTGGTGTTCACTTACGCTCCATACGTGTTGGCCGAAGGCATTCATTTGTCAGGTAATTATTTTTACTGAAATGAAATTCATGTACAATTTGTATTTTTAACATTGGTAGTTGTGGATAACGACAATTTATTCCTCTTAGGTATTATGGCTATACTGTTCAACGGCATTGTCATGTCGCATTACACTCATTTTAACTTGTCTACTGTCACTCAAATTACCATGCAGCAAACTATGAGGACATTGGCGTTCATTGCAGAAACCTGTGTGTTTGCGTACCTTGGACTTGCGTTATTCAGCTTTAGATTGCACTTTGAACCAGCTCTGGTGATATGGAGTCTCGTTTTGTGCCTAATCGGTCGGGCGTGCAACATATTCCCGTTGGCTTATTTGTGCAATAAGTTCAGAGAACATCAAATCACCAAACATATGATGTTCATCATGTGGTTTAGCGGTAAGCTTTATAATTATTATTATTTTTTAGTATAATACGTATTTGTTTTCGTTTTAAAGAAGCTTATTGATGCAGATATTGTCGTGATTTTACGTTTTTAATTGAATTAATCGGTAGATCATAAGACTAATATTAAATAATCGGTTAATATTTTTTTAAATCGCAGATTAATAAAAAAATTATATATTAATAATAATTAATAAATCGGTTTATACCGGATGTGAAAACTAAATAATCAACAATCGTAACAAAATTAACCGAAATAATCGATTAATTTATAAAAATTTCAATACATTTAAAAAATCAGACAGCCCTTCAAAAAATCTGCATTCAATTTTCATTTTAAACATTTTGGTTAGGATAACATTTTGAAGTTTAATGAAAAAAAGTTCTTTTTCAATCGGAAATTCTTTGCTGCGATAATTTATGTCGCGTGCAATTACAGAAGAAATACATGCAAGCTCACGATTTTCATTGTACTTGTGTTTCAAAAAAAAATATTGTTAGATGGCAATGAACTTGTTTTCGAACGAACAACACGCAAGATAAAATTTACATTCTAGTTGTATTATGTTTGTTTATGCACTGGCTTTTTTTTTGTTTGTTACGAAATTAAAACATACAAATATAGTATTATTTTAAAATAGCTGTTTGTTTCGAATGGACTAATTTTTTGATGGTATTTACTTTTAATTTAAAATTATTTTTTAGGCTTACGAGGAGCTATTTCGTATGCGCTGTCATTGCATTTGGAATTCAGTAACGAAACCAGACACGTTATTATCACCACCACGTTGTGTATAATATTGGTGACCACATTGTTGTTCGGCGGATCGACTATGCCGTTAATGAAGGTAGTTTTTATTTATTTGACGTACAAGTTTTCGTCAAGTTTTACATCAATGTATTTCAAATATATATATATGTTTATACTTTTAGATATTACAATCAACAAAAACAGGACGAAGCGCTCGGCGGCGCAGGAAAGACAAAGCCATATCTCTGAGTAAAACTAAAGAATGGGTATTTACTTAATGTTTGAATTATTACGAGAACCGCACTCGACTTCATTATTATATTGTTTTTGTATATCAATGTGTTTTATGTCAGGGACAAGCGATCGATTCCGAACACTTGTCTGAATTAACAGAAGAGGAAATGGAAGTAAATTTCATACAGTCGCGAATCAGCGGTTTCGCAAAACTAGACATCAAATATTTTATACCGTTTTTCACTAGGCGTTTCACTCAAGAGGTGAGTTTACATAATAATAAAATCTTATCAAGCTGTTACGATATTTAAACACTTAATATTACGCAGACTCCAAACATGCCACTTTCTTTAAGAGTGGTTTTAAAAAAATTATAATCAAGTCGTTGAGAATTAATCATTCGAGTTGTCTAATTGTAATACGTCGCGTCGATATATTTCAGGAATTGAAAGATTGTAAAACGCAAATGACCGACCTAACCAACCAGTGGTATCAAGCGATTCGCATAACCCCCACGGCGTCCGACGACGACAAGACCAACAGCAACGGACAAGCTCAGACGTCGAGTCGCCAATCCAGTTGACAATTACAGCAGCCACCGGTTGTCGCACGGCAAAGTAATGGAGGAGAAACGCAGTCGTTGTTACATCGTCAAAACATCAAAATGTAACGGTTTTGTTTTACAGGTAATAATATGTTTAGTGACGTTCAAATCTTGTCGGCATCGAGTTTACCACATACGACCGGCCAGCCGCAGTAATATATATATATCTATTATGTGTGTTTCTATTTTACGTACTTAAAAGAAAAATTTATATATATATATATATATTTATTTATTTATTTAAAAATACAACTACATAAACAATATATGTTAATTGTAGCATACCTAATAAAAGAAAAAAATTTTTAAAAACTTAACGAAAACCAAACGATTAAAGCCAGAGGAGATGGCCCGTTCGCAGTGTACTCTAATCAACGCTTAAAGTCTGAATTTAAGTACATAAATATATATTTTATATTCATTTACAATAAAACGCATAATTTATATTGTTATCTAATAGAATTATAAAAAGTGTGATAGTCATTTAATCGTAATGATGATTTATAGTTTATATTCGTCGTTGGTCGCCACGCGACGACGTACTATTTATTTATTGTTTTTGTTTGAATATTTAGTTTATTTTGTTTTTAAATTTTGTTTCTTACGAACTTCATCTTGGGGTATATATTCTACGTTTGTATAAATATTATTTACTAAATAAAACACACGAGGGCAATTTTTTTTTTCCATTATTAATTTTTTTTTTTTCAACTGACAAACAATGTTGTATTTTTAAATTCAGGGTATCTTTTTTTTATATATATATATATATGTACAACTTGACCACCACCAAACGTGCATTTATATACGTTTTTGTGTCGATTGGTATTTCGAAACGACCAATGCCTTGAAAAATTGTATATTCTAAACAAAAAAAATGTTCATAAGTCGGATTTATAAAAATTTTTTTTTTTATATATAATAATTTACCGTGGGAAGGTGGGAAAACCATCGCATTCTCCTAACGTACAAGCAACGGCGGCAGCAGTCTTTTACTCGTAACGTTACCTCTTTATAATAAATTGTACTTGAAAAATGTAATCTTTGTACATCTGATATGTTTGTATTGTTATTGAGTTGTTTTCTTGTGATAAAAATAAATGTGTAATTATGGAGAAACAAAAAAATTGTATGTTCATTTGTTATTTTTAGTGGAGCGTCTCTCATTCACACGCAAAACACCACGGTTTGGTTTGTTTGTTATCGTTTACCAAATCATATTACTATGCTAATGATGTTGACTTATGATTATTTGTATGACCTTGAGTAAAAACTTTTTAAAAAAAACTTGCCGTCTCCTCAATTAGCATAAGCAATTGTAACGATACGTGTTGGTGTGTCTCAGAACAATAATATGGAAATTGAGTCTAAACACTCGCGCTCAAATAAGAAATGTATGTATATTATATTTAATTTAATTGTTTAATTTAAAAAATCCTCTTTGTAGACAAAAATTTGATTTTACTTTTGTATCGAATCACAATATTATAATATTTTTTACCTACCGAAGGGGTAATTGTTGATTTTTATATTTGTACATATTATAACGTCATCTCAACTAAAGAAAAATCTATATCTAAGTAATTAACTGTTTAACGGACAAATTTTCTAAATATTTACGGAACGTGTCGACTGACGCGAAGAAATTGCAAAAAACAAAGCGTTGTTTTTGTATCAGAATAATATAAAATTCTACGTGCCAAATTTTAAATATTTGTCAAGTAAACAGTTTATTTAAAAAAAAATTGTGATAGTTTAAAAATGTTTATAATCTTTTTTTTTTTTTATACCGATAATGAAAAATTATATTTGATGAAAATACGATTTAATATGTTTTTGTAACATTGTAATCAAAAACAAATAATACGTGAAGTGTAAACGTTAAAACTTACTATAACCCTCCTCTTCGCCCCCTCTCCAAAAAAATTTCAAATTGTCGTTAGTTTTACATGCATTTTCATAATTTTAAAATAGTTTTTTTTTTTTTAGAATTTGTAAAAGTACTAATAAAACGTATTTAAATATACTAACTGTGAAAGTTAGAGGTTGATTCCCCCCCCCCTCCCGTTTACTTTTGAAGAGAAAATATGTACATCAAAACAGTTTCCGTGTGTCACTCGTGTACTTGTTTTGCCTACTCGCCACGCCGTTTCATCGACGGCAGTTTTTTTTTTTTATGGTTTGTCATATTATTATTTTTTTTTTTTCAATTACCAAATCGGTTCTAAATGTATACAATTGTAACGATTTCCTTAAAACAACTATCTTGGCAGTATCTCGAGCTCGGATAGGTCAGCTAAATATAATATAACGCGGTGGGCGATGTGTTTTTCACAGTGTTTTACCAGATGAAAACTTATTTTAATTGTAAATCAAAATCATGAAGTTTAGGCTACCTAATCATACACACCCCCGTTGTAATCGGCGCCAGCCATTTAGGGTCAAGATCCAAAATTGGCAAGAGTGGGGGGGGGGGCAGAAGAACACGAAATTCTACTGTACCTCGAACCTCTGCCACTGGCACACTATCGTCCTGTGATAAATAAACATTATAAAAAAAAAAACTCAGTTTTTCTATAAAAAAAAAAATTGTATTTTTTCTCTGTACATTCTTCACGATAATTTACACAGTCTATCCCTACTACATATTTGTAGTATAGTCGGGGTAGAGCGTGGGTGTAGATATATATTTTTTGTTGTACTTATAGGAAACGTTTCAATTGGCACGTGTGTATACTAAGTATAGTGTATTAAGTATAATATACTTCACAAAATGTACATTATTTATATAATCGTACGGGTACAATACTATCGATGATAGTTAATAGGTACCCAATAATAATATTTGCTGTTATTGTTCCATCGTGATATTACTATAGGTAACACCGGTTGGATCCACACAGCGTAGAGTGACTGGCTACAATAATATTTTGGTCTCCTAAAAAAAACAAAATAATAATTATCTTAACGATTTATACAAATTGTTATGAATATTTTTTTTTTATATTTTATATTTATTTAATTATTTACATTAATGATCTTGTATAACATATCCTATTTATGTACAGACTGTTTTTTTTTTTTGTAAACATTAAAACCGTATAATATCCATATTAAAATATTATTAATGGCCCGAAGATGTGTGTTAAGTAAAAAAAAACATGTACACCAAGGTTGTACCGCACTACGTGGGAATTTTTCAATAAATATTAATACAAGTTTACACCTATTATTGTGAAAGGGCGGATTGTTAAGACATCTGAAAAACGTAGTCCGGAAACCCATTTATTCAAATTGATTGTTTTTTGTTGTTTTGCTGTTTACAATTATAACACTCAGGTATATAATATAATATTATCATAAATATTGTATTGGGTATGGATCACATTACATAATAGATACTTTCTCCAAAAACGATTTCCTGTTTTGTACACTAATAATGTGGTGTTGGTCGGATAAAAAAAATTAAAATAAAACAATTATTTTGTTTTTGACTTTGAGATTTCGTCGCGTGAATTATTAAAAAAAAAACTATTTTTTAATGCTTAAAATGTGTTTGACATCGGTGAGGAATAAAATAAGTATTTTTTTTTGAACTACAAGTATTTTTTTTTCATTATTATTATTATTTAACAATCGTTTTTTTTATTATTTGCCATTTATATAATGAAAATACAATTTTATTACTTTATTAAAATAAAATTTTTACTTCTGTCATTAAACGAAGGGGTGAGTATGTGAACAACAGGTGTTGAGCGACATTTTTTTTTTGTTGTTTTTCAAGTGGTTTTTGACGAATGGATGAAAGTATTGTGGCAAAATACCACAATAAGGGTTGAGTGTGTGAATTTCAATCGATGAGTGTCCATCATTCATTTACCATTTATATAGTGGAATGTTTATTTAGCTTAAAAAAGAAAAAAGTTCCCCACATATTATATTGTATCGACTAATATGTAATCTCTTGAACATGTTTGTGTATAATGTCATTGTATAGGTCACTCACCCATTCGATTTAGTGTCCAAACTACATAGTTGATTTATTTGCAAATTTCACATTTTTTTGTTTCAAAATTAACCTACTGATTTACTGGCCAATATCATTGGATTTACGAATTGATGATTACAAGGTGATCGATTAACGTAGTTAATACATTTTCCGTTTCTCTTAAAATAATTGCAATTTTTTTAGTTTTTCACCATTGTTGTCTTACAATATTAGACTATATTCAAATTTTATGTATTTTTTTTATTTTTTCATAGTTCTATCGACAAAGCTTTAATTTGAAACACAAATAAAAAACGTATTCACAAAGATAAACTACGAAATTGCTTTTAATTTCATGAGAAAATCAGTGTCTCACGTCGAATTTGATCACCCTGTATAGCCATCGAAGCGCCACGTCCGTATTGTCGACAATGATAGATAATATATTATTAGGTACCTGCGTCGACGGGGGGGCCCGGTCGCGTATCTGCGTCGAGGCGTTTTCGGCCGGAACTGCTGCAGTTCCGTCGACTTCGGGCGGCGGCGAAAACGGATCGTCCGCGTCGTCGCAGCAGTGTCCGTTGCACCAGAACCGCACGGCCTGTTCGAAAACTGTGGCGAACCTTTGCCAGCTCAGGCCGTCGATCCCTTCGGCGGCCAACGCCATCAACCGTTCGACGTCCTTGCACTTGAGCATGGCGGCTACCGTACGCTAGAGTCGACCCGGCTCGACGGCACTCCGACAACTGTCCAACAACGTGTGTGACGATGGTGTACTGCAAACAACGTGTACGTCTAACCGGGCGACGTCCGCCGCAAGGTCGAATCGCACGAAAATCCCATAACCGCTCGTTTGGCAAGTTTAGAGCTGTGTATACAGGGTGATCCGTTTAACTCTAACCTACCGTTCGTGGGTAATGCCTACATTTAAAAAAATGTCCAACGTTATTTTGTACTTAAAAACTATAATATATATATATATTTATATGTATATACCTATTTTGTTGATACAACATAAGGAACGGGCAAATTTCTGTGTCGATTTTGTTAAATTAAAGAATTTAGTTTGAACACTGCGGTTGTTCGACAAATGGAAAATGTTTGAAAATAGTTTGACCGGGTTAAGGTATATCCGGTTAAGTATATATCCGAGTGCACATTAAAATTCATAAACATATAACTATACAAGACGTCATGATGGTAACGTGTGTTTAAAATTTAGGACTGGAAATGTGCGTCACCCGGTAAATACAAATATTTTTGATAAGTCCATAACTGGTTTGATAGGCAGCAAAGTCGTCGAACCCGATTGTCGTTCAACCGAATAAATTATGCTAACTTAACAACAGTACTATTGTCGTCTAAACTTCAAAGTTACATCTATTGACAAGTGCCGCTTCATTTTCAACGACTCGCTTCGGTACAAGTCTCGAGAAATACAAACGGTAGTTTCCGGCAATACTGACCTATGTGTATGTATTATATGTTATACTTACAGCCTTGTGTCAATCGAGTAGTATAAGGTAAACGATTTAATTTTAAACGCACGCTCAACCGACACAGAGTAAGTGGGTAAAAACAAAAACAACAAAATATTAGAAACTCGGACAATAACAACAAAATAACCTCTGTGTTTGTTTTTTTTTTTTACAATTTTTTTGGAAATTATTCAAAAGCCAACAAATCACCACAAAACTGTGTGTTTTGGCGATTAAAAAAGCGCTATACTCTAGACTATTTTCTAGGGGGGGGGGGTGAGGGAAGGGTTCGAAGACGTTTTAGGGGAAGTTGGCCTCCTTGAGCGTCCTCTTGTTATTTTATTGTTATTATTATATATCTCTGAGCGCGAAGATCTGAGGCTACTTATCAAGTTTATAAAAAAAAAAAAAAACCAGTCTTTTCAAACACTCCTTACTACAAACAACGCTACCGGTTTAGCTGCAAAATGCGATTTCAATGTCAAGTCACGTACAATAATTGTAGTGACGTGCACTTGGACGAAAAAATGTATATATTAAAAAAAAAAAATAAGCAAAATACCGAACGAACGCGAATGTTGTGTTTAAAATTGATAATAATTATTCCATCGGAACAGGAAGCTGATTTATTTGATTTTGGTTTAATTAACATTTGAATCTTAAAAAAAACAATCCTA